AATCTTCTTCGTCGCGCTCTTTTGTTATTCTCATTCTTCTGATTATTCTTCGTCTTCTTCCTCTGATTCTTCTTCTTTTTCTTCTTCCTCTTTTTCTTCTTCTTCTTCTTGCTGTTTTGAAGCAACTCCTTAGGCCCTTCATCGCAAGCTTCGCAAGGCTTACTGTGCGACTGGTTGCGGGTCGGCGGGACTCGCTGCGGGCGTTTCTGGGGCTGGGCACTCCAGGCCAGGCCCAGGAGACCAGGCGGGATGGCGAGGAGGTCAAAGGGCGAGGAAGCCAAAGGGCGAGGAGCATGGTTGGCTTAAAATCTAACAACCCCACACCAAAGGCGAAAAACAAACAAACGTGTGGGTTGCCCCGTCCCTCTTCCCGTCCTCCCTGTAGTCTGAAGAAATGTCTGCAGTCGACACACTAGACAAGAATTAGACCATCATGTGCCTGCAAAGGGCCTCAAGCAAGCTCGCAACCAGCCGGCTGCGGCTACAAAGTTCTCATGGCGAGAAGGCGACCAAGACAAGCGTGCTGCCTGAAAATTCACTGAGGGGCAAGCTCATGCCCTCCCTCCTCAGATTTTCGCTTCAGCTGCCTCACATGCTTCCAGCAACGCAAGCTAACTGCCGACATGATGAGGTGCCTTTTGTAGGACATCTTCAAATTCTTCATGAAAACGTCCTGAAGCTTGCGACTGACCGCACACTTGAGAAAAGCTGGGGGTGAGGGGCACCTTTCCAAGCTCATCAAAACTTTAGCAACTCATGACATATCCATTGTTCAAGGTGTCCTTTGTCAATCGGAGCTTGCCATCAGGAGATGCAACCTTGGCAAGTTGAAACTGCGCTTCTGCACTCCTGGGGCAGTGGTCAGATTCAAAATGCCTCCAGCACCTCCTGGTCCCAGGTGTCCAGAACTCTCTGAACAAGCTGTGCCTGCGATGAAACGTGAAAACACAAGATTTTGAGACCACCGTTCGACATGTTTCGACATGATCTTGCCTTCTCGCAGCCATCGCAATGGAGGCCCTTGCTCTGTAACAGATCCTGATGCAGTCGCCCTCCAAAGGTCCAAAGGTACCATTTTCAGACATCATGACTCTGCCTGCAGCTCGTGAGAGGCTCGGCGCCCAAGCTCCTGTCAATGCAGAGAACGTGCCCATTGGAAGGATTTCGAATGGCCCTAGGTGTCGTGAGAAATGTGCTTTCTGTGCTTTTGACTCTTCTTAACACTGCTTTGACCACCTGTGCCGTGGGGGCTTGGCTTGCCCACAGCTGCGACAACGGCTGCTCCCCTGAGCCCAGGAGGCATTCCGAGATTACAACATCTGAGTTTCATCAAAGCTCGTTCTCACTGCGAAGGCGTATCAGCGGCAACAAGACCTGCAGCAGGCAACACCGCCAGCGCCAGGACGCAGACGACCCTGTGACAAGCAGCACAGCAAAATGCGGAACGAGCTCTCCATGAGGCGAAATCGGCATACAGCTCCCACAAGATCTTGAAAAGCTGGTCTTGAGCCTGTTTTGCGGATTGAAAGTCATGTCTGCCTCACCACCCTCAACACCCTCACCACTCACCACCCTCACCTCCCTCACCTCCCTCACCTCCCTCACCTCCCGCCATGCTCCTTGATGCTCCTTGATGCTGCTGCCCAGGTTGGGACAACCTCGGTATGAGGGTGATGCTCTCAGGGTCCTTGATGCTGCTCCTGCCAAGGTTGGATGAGGGTGATGCTCCTTGCCAAAGCAAGGACCACCTGGGTATGAGCGTGATGCTCCGTGGTGCTGCTCCTGCCAAGGCTAGGACAACCTGGGTATGAGGGTGATGCTCTTGATGATTTTTTGATGCTCCTTGATGCTCCTTGATATTCCTTGCTGCTCCTTGATGCTCCTTGATGCTGCTACCAAGATTTACGGTGCCTGCCCGCGCCATTCAGTCGATCACACGACGTGCGGCGTGTGGCACAGCGTACGATGCCAGATGTGAGGATTTTGTACTGTCCCTAACATTTGTGACCCATTCACGTCGAGGCATCCCCGCTCTTCTCACATGTTAGTGGCAGGCTGCAAACTCCGACAGATAAATGCAGAACAGTGTAAAGGGATGGTCACATAGAGATCTCAGTGCTTTGCCACAAAGGAGGAGTTCTCGTTTGGGCACTCTCTCGAGATGAAAGCAGGTGGGAATGCCAAGAATACTTCATAAGAAGCCGTTTTGAAAACCATGCAGATGTCGACGATTTCCAGTAGATCCACCTATGTAGCTCAGGGAATACATCATCAACTTCGAACCGATAAGAGCTTTGTAACAGTAGATTTGGATCTTCCGATCCCAAAGATCTTGGACACTTTGGCCATCCCGATTCTGCGGCCAAGCTCGTGCTTTGGCAGACCGTCGTGATTGAGAACAACCGTCGTGACCGAGAACAGATCTCAATAGTCGATGCCCAATTGTGGCACAATTTGCTCCTTTGTTGGAGACTGAATGAAAGCATGACACTGTATAGTTGAAACCTATTTCAATGAGGCTGCATGCCGTACAACACCCCTTCATGTAAAACCTGAGACAAGTAGTCGTGTAAATAAGGGTCGGATGTATCAAGCAAAAGCGCATCTTCAGCATAAACTACATCGGCCAGGTCACCACGGTTGTATGCGAGTAGTGCAGGACCACTCGGATTTGAAGCAGCATCGTGCAGCAAGACCGTCATTGTAATGATAGGAAGTAGCGGGGTCAACGAAATGCCAGAATTCTGAGCTTTCAGGATGGACTTCATGCCTTGGTCTACATAAACCCTGCGATGCCGCATCATGCTGTAAATCATTTGTCGGAAAAATCAGGGGTACCGAAAAGACGTGACATAACGCATCAAGAAGGCTGTTCAAACGGAAGCTGTTGAAAGCTGTCTCCCCATCAAGAGGCAACAAGCGGCTTTGACCCAGAGCAACGAGAAAATGGCATCCTCTCTGAAATAATCCTCTTTGAATGCAACTAGTGACTTCCAGAGCCTGGTTTGATCAAGAAGTCGTTGCTTGAGAAGAGAAGCAAAAAGTTTGAATGCAGTACTTCATGGCGCCACGCCAAACACTAGGAGCGCGCTGGTCACGAGAGCCTGCCTTTGAATAATGCTTCCTGCTTGCATCCTGCTTCGATGGCACAGAAGGAACTGAAAGAGGATGTGAGATGATGTAAACTGAAGTGAGCCTTGGCTGAAGCTTGAATCTAATGACCTAACCCTCTAGCCTCAGGAAATTGTGCGAACTTGCACCGGCACCGGCACTCCCCACGGATGGCACGGGGCTGGCTCATGCGTTAGCAAACATGATGATTTTGGAAGCAAGGAAGCGTGCTGCATTTGCAGGTCCTTGCCTGCTCAGCGCCCGTGGCCAAGCCTGGCAGTCTGGCCGGTCAGTGGAGGAACTTGTCTTCGTCGCTCAATGTCGCTCAGAAACCCCGCCGTCGGTCGGAATTTTGCAGATGTTTACAGCATGCGCTAACTATGCTAACTCAATGCATGGGACACAGCTTAAAGTGCATGTTTTGCTTCTCTGCGTCATACCCCCTGAAGTTATCTGGTCTATCCTCCGGTCGCGCGTCCCGAAGGTTATCAATCACGCACACCGGGCCCACGCTAGTATCTGCATGTTTCGTTGAATCTTCAATGGCGAATGCACAATATACAAAGGTCAATGGAATGAAACGATGCGATTGTCCAAGGACCAAGGCAGCCGCCTGCTGCGAACATGTGCCACATTTGAGAGCGATAGGGTTACCGCTAACGGTTGGAGCCTAGGCTGAGAATTCAAAGGGTCAGACGAAGCGCTACGCTGACCACTGGCTGACGCCGCAGCCTGCAAGTCTCTGCAAATTCCTGTTGGTGCGAAATGACTTTCTGCATCTTTCTTTCCATTTTTGTGTTTCTCCTTTGTTAAACCTGGTCGCCTCAATATGTACATACATTTTTCATAGTTTCGTTCCTTCTGCCCTTGCTGTCCTCAGGGGCTCAAGACAGCATACGCGAACAACGAGGTTGGACAGAAAGGAGCGTTGTAGAAAGAAGTCGGACACGTCGTCTTGCACACCATATAATTTCAGGTAAGTGGCAAGCAGATCAAGCAGGAAATATCAAGGGATGAAGTGATACACACAATGCACTGCGAACGGGCCTCATAGATGCACTCCATCCCGAGCCGCTAAGAGAAGTGCAGACTACTTCGTGTTCCACAGATACTCTAGTGAAGTGGCTTCAAAAAAGTTCCTTGCCCTTGCATTTCGTCTGCAATCCCATGCAATCCTACTCATTGATGGAGGTTCTGTGCAGGACATAGCATGTTGATGCATGTTGTGTACAAGTTGAGAGGTGCTGCCAAGGAGGTGGATGGAAAAGCTGCCAGCCGCTGCCAGTAGCCAAGGAAGCTTCCGGAACTGCCGCAGCAACGCTGCGAAGACGAACTTCAGCTTGCGTCTTTTTCCTGCTTGGCTTCAACCAATCAGAAAGCCTGCTCAGAGGAAGTATACTTGCCAGCATGGCTGCTCATGGCTGCGCCACTGTCATACTGCAGATGGCTATTCAAGTCATACTGCACATGGCTATAAAAGTGGTAGAGCTTGGAAGTGGAACATGGACTGGAGCAGAAGTCAGCATTATCGAAGTAGTATTGAAGTAGGTCTTTTGTTTCAGTTCAATTCCTACTTACGCCGGGCACTGGAACTAAGGCGGAGCTTCCGTGCTCAGAAGCCTTTGCAGGCGAAGGTTCCGTTCTTTGGACTCTCCCATGCCTTTGTGGAGCATCGAACCAACAACCTCCTGGCAAAGAACATTTTGCCCATCTCAATTCAAGCGAGCATTCTTTTCAAGCACGTAGATCGTCTTGAATCTTTACACCACGTGCACTGCGCACTGGAGCGGTCCTGGTCGAAAGGGTCGAAAGCCTAAGGCTTTAAGTGGTCCGAAATCTTCATCTGAAAGCTGGCGTGGAAGCCCTCAGGCGCTCAGGCTCTCAGGCTCTCAGGCTCTGGCCTGGTCCATGTACATGAAATACCAGGCACCTGAATGAAAAGCTGCGGGCAATGTCATTGGTGCCCAGACTGGTGGGTCTGGTGCAGCTAGGAAACAGAGTTTCTTGTAGGAGGCGTCACTCCCCAGCAGCTCCTGAGTAAGATCTTGCACCATCTGGGCAGTACTTGCTACCACCTTGTCGTGAGATGGGCCGTCCTGTCTTCGAGCCTTCATGTACAATCTGGCAAAAAGTTCGCAATCCTGGAAAAGTGATGAAACTTCATGAAGAATGGAACTTGCAACATGATCACATGATCAACATTGCAAACACTGCTTACTATGTCTGCAGCCTTCGTCTTCACGAAGGAACCCTGCCTCGTTGCAAACTCCTGCACATCTTTGACTACAGAACGACGGGGGGCAGGTGAAAATACTTGACGCCAGGACCCCGAGATTGAAGAGGAAGACTCAAGAGGAAGACTCAAGAGGACGACTCAAGAGGAAAGGGGTGATGCATACTGCATACTTCTAAAACCTGGAGTCTCAACCGCAGACCCAACTCCAACCCACACCACACCTTGCGGATAAGGGATTGGAACTGAAGGGGAGGGTCTTCAGAGTCTAATTGGGGATTGCCTCAACAAAAGCTGACAAGACCTGACAGTTGCACCTTTGAACTAAGTTGCGACCTTTGCGACCTGCACGGCGTCCTTGTCTAGAAGGCACTGGGACTTCAATACTTCCTCAGCCTGCACAGCTCCACTCTTAGTTAAAGAACTACGACTTCCACTACTTCTCCAACATGATGAAACAGCGCGGTTGGTAGGCTGCAGCCGGAAGTGAACATGATGAAGATTACCCAGAAATCACTTCTCGCTGGCCGGTGCCTGCTGGTCTGAATACGAAGAATCGATGGAATCGCCGACCTTCCCCGAGTGCAGCAACCAAAAGGTCATGCGAGAAATCATGCCTTCGTTACCCGCACCATCCTGACCGGATCCGCATTGAGGAAAAGAAACATGGTTACGATGGGCCATAACTAACTGATCATTTTGAGTTTCTGAGTTTCCGCTACACGTGAAGCAAAACTTGAATTCAATATCCCAATTTGCAAGGCTGCGGGGGGGAGGGAAGTTCCAGGTGTTCAGGGGAACGCAGGATTAATACTTTGACACACCATTCCGATGTTCGAGGTCCGGGTAGTTCTTCTTGTGAGGGGGTAATAACACAACAAAAACAATTATGTAAAAGCATATGCAGAGTATACCGTACAAAAGAATATCTCAAATATACAGTGTCATAGCATATCACCTCATATCAATACAGTAGAATCTAACAGAATGGAAATCGAATAGAATATCAAGAAATACAATTGATTGAAACAAGAAACACAAGGCACCCGCTTGTAGGTTTCAACATATGTTAGGGCCACAACTGATGGATCATTGATGACGGTGGATGTCTTGGGGGATCTTGCGGGAAGGGGAAGAAGCAGAGGCTAAACTTGTGCTAACAAAACCCCCAACCAAACTCTCGAAAACCGCAGAGAGTCCCGCCGAGTATCCCTGGAATGCTGAGCCCAGAGAAGCCTGCACTGAGTCGTGCCGAGTATCCCGGAGCACGCGTGCCTTGCCAAAACACCATCCCTTGAACAGCCCCATTTTCCCACAATCAAAACATCAGGATGGCCTTGCTATGTCGAATATTGAAACCATTAGCAAAAGAAGTCATGCCACCATGGGAAGACATATAATGCTGATGAAATCTCATCACGTCTTGACAATTCAGACGACAAAGAAGAGAATGAAGAGATATCTGCTCGCAGTATTCTCGATTCCCGGAATCTGTATCTGGTATATCTGCTACGTGCCTATCCCGCCCAAGCCCGCAGGGAGTCCCGCCGAGTATCCTTGGAGTACCCACTCCCAGAGAAGCGTCAGCGACCGAAGCCTGCGGAGAAGTTTCCTGTTTGCAAACGGCAGGATGGTCACATGCTCAAATAATTTGGACTTGTGCTTAGCGTTTTGGTTGTTGGCTTTTCGGTAGTTCCTCGAGATTTTCGTTTCGTTAATGTTGGCTGATCTTCCCGAGGCAAACCATCCGAAAAACATGTAACGTAAACACTCAAGGAGAAACAAAAACACAGATCAAGCCCAAACAACAAAAAAGACCTCTGAGCCCCCTTGTAAAAAATGCTCGAGTCAAATGTACACACACAAGCTATCATAAAAGAGAATGCTTTTCTCCACGGATTTGTTGTTGGTTTTTGGCTGTGGGGCTGCTGGCCAGAGAGAGATCGGCACCCCTCAAAAATCATGGGTTCAGGAATTGAAACACCGTGCTTGAAAAGAATGGTTCAATCCGCAGCGTTTTGGCTCGAAGGTTGGGTGGTAAGCAACCCTAAAGGTGAAAAGAAGAAGAGATGAAAAAGATTGAAGAAGGAGCTGAAAATGCTCAAGAAGGTGTGGACAAGGTTGTTGAAGAGATCCACGCTGAAGCATCAATCCAAGTAAAATCTTGACTTTCATCGCGATTTACATGGTTTGGATGTGTGTGTGTGTGTGTGTCTTTGGGGGGGGGGGGGGGGCGGGTGTCGGGTGACCACATATGTCACACATAGAAGAAACATGTCATCATCGTCTGGCTCACGAGTCAGTACACGCCTTCTTCAGATGCGCTACGCAAGCCTCAGATCTCACGTCTGCGACATCTGCGACCGTGCTCGCTATGCTCATCATGCTCCTTGCAGTTGAAACACGGAAGTGTATGTTTCCTTGTCGGTGTCCGCCACGACACCATCCGCATCGAAATCCCTGCACAATTTTACGATACAGTCACACAAGTCAGGCCTGGCAGGACTACAGCAACATGCTGCGGAGTCAAGCAATATGGGCCTTTCTTGCCGAAGGATTGCATCTAAGTGCTCAAGATCATCTTCTTGAAGGCCAATGTCGGTCGTCTTGTTCGCCGACGCTGGGGAGCGGCTAGCTCCTTGCTGTGCTTCCGCCTTTGGCCACAGGAAATCCCAAATCCACTGGAGCCAACCGAATGCGCTGTGGGCGTCTTGAGCCTTCTCTGTTGCTGTCTCTGTTGCCCTCTCCGTGCCCTGGCTAGATCGGTTGGAAGCCTCGGAGGCTTCGGAAGCCTCCGGGGAGGCCTCGCCGGAGGCCTCGCCGGAGGCCTCGCCGGAGGCCTCGCCGGAGCTGCCACGGCCCGGAGCGGCCCGATCTGCTTTGACGCTAACATCCTTCGCCGCCTGAACTGAAGACTCCTGCGCCTCTTCCTTGCTTAGGCCATTCGACACACCGGCATTGTAGGCCGCCGAAGCTGCTGCTTTTCGTACTTCTCTCGGGCTCTTGCCGGCTCGTCGGGCCTCAGCTTCAGCGGCCTTGCTCGCGGCAGCTGCAGCAATGCGGGCAGCGTCTTCCGGGCTCTTCCCTGAGCGCAGTGCAGCCTCGTAAGCTGCATCACCCACTTCCTCCGGGTCCTCCGGATCTTTGGACTTCTCCACATCCTCGGCTCCAGCACCATCGGCTCCAACACCGGCGGCTCCGCCGGCTCGTGACTTTGGCTCACTCGATGGCCTGGTTTCTCTGTTGGTGCTCAAATCCTCCGCGTTCGACTTTGCGCCGTCGCCTACGTCTTTAGCATCCGCACTCTTCGTTGTGGCGGCTGTGGCGGAGGTGCCAGGTGCAGATGCTTTCACTTTGGGTGCTCGGTAGGCCTCCTTCCACCAGCTGGACACCGTCCATGTGGTGGTCCTTGCCTGCTTGTTGTTGGACTTCTTCTTGAAAGCCGATTCGGTCAGTTCGTTGCTGGCTGCAGGGTCTGTTGCCTGGCACACTGCTCCCAAGCACTATGTCACACGGGTGACTAGGCCGGCCTCGAAAAACTCCTTGCACAGCTTCTTGAAAGAGCCATCCTGCATCCGGCGCGCGTTGACGCCAAACCTGAGCCTATCCTCTTGGCATATTTAGCGCCCGTGCCTCCAACATGGCTTCCTCGAACTTCTCAGCGAACTTCAGGCACTCCTCGCATGATCCGAAAGCGCGGTGGACTCATGTTTTGCGATTCCTCATCTTGAAGCCAACATCCGAAAGACATAGGTTTTCTCAAAATTTGCTCATCAAGAAAACCAAAAGATGAATCGTGGACTAGCCCAATTTTCATTCGGACATGCATAGAGGGCACGCCCTGCAAAATCATCAAATCCAAGTTGAATTGAGCTGTGCTCAACACAGTCCGGACCTCAGAGAACAACCAGCAGAAACTTTCTACCAGTAATTGACTTTTTCGGGGTGTCCAAGTGTGTATGTGTCTGTGAGCGAGTGAGCGAGCGAGCGACTCAGCGAGAGAAAGACAGAGGAAGCGTGTCTGTGTGTGTGGTGTGTTCTAACACGGGAACTCCAATGGATATATCAGAAACCTTACACCATCGTGGAAAAGGGAGAAGAGAAACGCTCCACTACATCACATCCCCACCATACTTTGACCAAAACCTGGCCCTCCTCTTTCCCTCACACTTCTGTTACTCCCAAACAAAACTGCATAGACAAACATGTGTACATGAAGCCTGAAGCCTTGTCAAAGGCAGAAATGCTGCAAGGTTTGACAAGAGCTATACACAGTCAATATGTGGCTTTTCGTAGGGAATCAGGGAATCCATACACATCCACCACACCCCCACCACGTCCCCAGAAACCCCCACCACAGCCCCACCACACCTTCGCAGGTGTCGGCAGTGCTGCGCAGGTCAATGTGCTAGGTTTCATCTTTGCCTAGGGGGCCCCTCAGCACTTCATGGGTCCGCTATGCCTATGCCTCCATATTATGAAAGTTCTTACGGCGGTTGCTCGTTGGTTTTTGCATGTGTTCGGATCCCAGCAGAAGATCCACAGATAGAACCACTTCTGACCTCTAGAAGAGCAGATGAAAACCGGGGGCTGTGGGAGCGCGCTGTTCTATTTTTATCGTGTTGTTCGTTGCTTTGCCGTTGATGCTGCTGACACTGGTGCCCCCTTGTTTGGGCAATAAACGCATTTGGACAAAACCAAAGCATGAAACATCATGAAAATAAACAACAACGTCAAACACAACAGTTCTCCGAAGACTCTCGGTCCGCCCGTGGGACACTATATTTCACTATACCACATGCTATCGATTCTCTCCTCCTCACCAAGTATCCAATCAAAAACCTCCACCTGTCAGCGACCTGCTTCGGCGCCGTTGGAAAAGTTACAAGCGGGTCGGTTAAGTCACATCTTTGCGTGTGAAGTCATATCTCCCCAGTGACACGCGGCTGCGAGCGAAGTCACATCACCCCGCGTAAAGTCGCATCACTGAGACATATGTTGAAGCCTTTCCCCCAATGTGCACGCGCCGCACGTGCATGTTCTGGACACACATGCAAAATGCGTACTTGCCCACCGCACGCCTTTGAGGGAGCACATTTTTGTCAGTGTGAAGGAGATTTCTGCAAGTGGCTTCTGACGGATCTTGGAATTCGCGAATCCCCAGTGCGCCCGAGATACGACTCTACAGAAGAAGATACGACTTAACCTACACGCTTGTAGGGGTAGGGGTTTACTTGCATGGCAAAAAGGCTCGTCAGATGCTATATCTCCGTGTGTCCTTCGGAAAGGGTCCGCCCGTCAGATGCTTTCACAAGGATAGGTTTTAAAGCCACGCCCCCACCCACCCCTTGCCCCGTGCCTTGGACGCTTGGTGTCTTTTTCGACGCGGCTGTGTGCTCATGCATTCGGCATGGGAAGCTTAAAGCTACGGGGTCGTGGGGGCAAGAAGAAAGCAAGGTATTCGATAACTTGCCAAGAGAACTCAGCTGTTGAATGTCAGCAAGAGAGGCCGTGCAATGGGCATGTGGTGTGGGAGCGTACAGCAAGGTGGCTAGAAGCGTGCACAATCGAAATTAAAGGACCGGATAACCCCACATGACTATCTTTTTTCTTGCTAGCAATACCTGCACGCGAACGAGTATATCGGCACAAGTCGGATGTGTGATGCGTGTGTGTCTCTGCGTGATGTGTGATGTGTGATGCGTGATGTGTGATGCAAGATGTGTGATGTGTGATGCGTGATGCGTGCTGTGTGACGCGTGATGCGTGATGTGTGAGGTGTAATGTGTGATGTGCGATGTGTGGGCGTGGGTGTGTGCGCGTGTGTCTGTGTCTGTGTCTGTGTCTGTGTCTGTGTCTGTGTCTGTGTCTGTGTCTGTGTCTGTGTCTGTGTCTGTGTCTGTGTCTGTGTGATGTGTGTGTGTGTGTCTGTGTGATGTGTGTGTGATGTGTGTGTGTGTGATGTGTGTGATGTGTGTGTGTGTGTGTGTGATGTGTGTGTGTGTGTGATGTGTGTGTGCGCGATGTGTGTGTGATGTGTGTGATGTGTGTGTGATGTGTGTGTGATGTGTGTGTGTGTGTGTGACGTGTGTGATGTGTGTGTGATGTGTGTGACGTGTGTGATGTGTGTGATGTGTGTGTGATGTGCATGATGTGCGTGATGTGCGTGATGTGTGTGATGTGTGTGATGTGTGTGTGATGTGTGTGTGTGATGCGTGTGTGTGATGTGTGTGTGTGTGATGTGTGTGTGATGTGTGTGTGATGTGTGTGTGATGTGTGTGTGATGTGTGTGTGTGATGTGTGTGTGTGATGTGTGTGTGATGTGTGTGTGCGATGTGTGCGATGTGTGCGATGTGCGCGATGTGTGCGATGTGTGTGATGTGTGTGATGTGTGTGATGTGTGTGTGTGTGTGTGTGATGTGTGTGTGTGTGATGTGTGTGTGATGTGTGTGCGATGTGTGCGATGTGTGTGATGTGTGCGATGTGTGCGATGTGTGTGATGTGTGTGATGTGTGTGATGTGTGTGATGTGTGTGTTGTGTGTGATGTGTGTGATGTGTGTGTGATGTGTGTGATGTGTGTGATGTGTGTGACGTGTGTGATGTGTGTGATGTGTGTGGTGTGTGTGGTGTGTGTGGTGTGTGTGGTCTGTGTGGTGTGTGTGGTGTGTGTGGTGTGTGTGGGTGTGTGTGGGTGTGTGTGTGTGTGTGCGGGTGTGTGAATGTGTCTGTCCAACCCTGTAACCTAGGGTTTCAATCACAGTTGACCTCGTTTCTTCTTTTGAGCAGGGGGCACAAACCCAGGATGATGACTTGTGCCAACGAAGCTATTCATCCTGGGGGATACCAGACCTGATCAGTCTGGCGTACCTGCAAATGGCAGACAGGACCCAATCTGCCGACACAATTTTCCTTTTCATAGTTCTCTTCAATGTCAACACCTGCTACAAACATCGGAGGTATTCAGGAGCATGATGCACTTCAGTGACAGCAGGCTTAGCCCAAGCACGGTATTTGCAAGGGTTATGGCTTGGGGGGACTTTGCGAGCGCCGACAGAGAGCCCCCAACCACGGTATTTGCGATATTTGCGAGGGTTTTGGCTTGGGGGGACTTTGCGCGCGCCGACAACCCTGGGGTCCTATAGAGAAGCCCCCAACCACGGTCTTTGCGAGGTTTCCAGGGTCGGGAAGTCCACAAGCACGGTATTTGCAAGCGTTTAGGCTTGGGGGGATTTTGCGCGTGCCGACAACACCGGGGTCCCTGAGATCGGGGGGACTTTGCGCGCGCCGACAACACCAGGGTCCTGCAGAGAAGCCCGATAACACCAGGGTCTTATAGAGAAGCCCCCAACCACGGTATTATTTGCGAGGTTTCCGGCGGGCAGGCGGCGGGCGGGCGTGGCGGCGTGCCAAAGAAAAACAAGAACCCCACAGTGATGGGGGGAAAACAACGCTGAAGCTTTCGGGAAAACAAGAACCCGACACTGATGTGGGGAAAAACCTACACAACTGTTTGGGGAATAAGCGTGGATCTGTCAAACAGCATGCTGCAGAAGGTGGCTTCAACACTCGCCGGGCTGTTCAGCTTCATCACCCTCCACTCATGAAACTGTGAGTAAGCAAAATGTCCTGAACGTCATCGAACCCAGCATTCACGCTGTCGGGAAATTCGTCTTCCAAGCCTGAATACACTTTGAGCGGAATGGCACCAAGTGGCACTTGTCACATCTTTTCACTAGAAGCTTGGCATGAAAGCAAGATTATGCATGGGAAGCGTCGGTCCGAAAATGCGGCCACGATTGAACAAACTACCAGACGCAGTGGGATGAGCCATCTGTAAGACTTACAGGTACTGTATTGGCACTCAGGCTTAGCTGGCAACGGCACTCTTGCGTGAGAAGATGGCCGACCTAACAGGTAACGTTCAAGAGCGGCCAGGATAGATCAGGAGACGTGAATTCAAACTTGCACCAGCCTGGACATCACCGTACACATCAGCCAAGGAGCTGCTCACCTCAAGGAAAAACAGTCGGGAGAACAGTCGAGAGAACGTGCATTGACTTAGACAGGCCTCTTCCAGGTGCTTGATGCACCTGGGCTCGAACTCCTTGAATGACAGTCCCTGTCAAGTTCAATGACAGAGGGTCAAAAGGTGAGGCCAACGAGGCGAACGCGGCGAACGCGGCGAACGCGGCGAACGCGGCGAACGCGGCGGAACGAAGCGAACGCGCCTTCTTTTCCTTCATGAGGGCAGCAAAAGTCGCCCCAAGCGCCCTCCGACCTTTGCGCCTCCGGATCTACCGGGAACAAGCAAGCATTGCGGAGCTGAGCAGAGATTCGCAGAGCTGAGCAAAGCCGAGCAGAGCTGTGTCAAATGCCTTGGCTTGTCATCTTCTTGCAGAGCAGCTTCTGCTTCTTTGACAGTCTGCTCCGCTTCGATTTCCGCATTCCGAGCCTGTGATGCAAGTACACAAGCCAGCGACAGCCAGTGCCAGAAATGGACATCCTTCAATTGTCGTGAGGTGTGGCCTCGAGCTCATCAATCTTATCAACAGGCTTTCGGCCTAGCTGGGAGCTAGAACGTGTCGCACCTTCTCGAACCCTACAAAATCTCCAGTGCCTGAGTCTGACAAAGCCACCTGCACCAAGGTGGGCAAGTCAGCAGCTCTCTCAGGCTTCAAAAGTCGTGAATATTGAATACATTATAATACATTCAACCGATTTCAGCCTGCCTGTCGAAATAAGGCGGCTCTCGCATCTGGTACCAGTGCAGCCACCTGACGGCCACTGTGGGCCACAACTTGTCGATGTAAAATGATATCACAAGCCTCAAAATGCCAAACATGGGAGCTCGGTCCCCAGCCGCAGCTGACAACAGCAGCTTCTTCATTGCAGCCGGGAGGCCTGTCAAGAACGATCAAGCAGAATCCATTGAATGTGCGGCCCTACTTGGACCACTCGGCCCACTTGGGCCATGCCCTTCGTTGACAAGGAAAGGAATTGAGCCTGTCGGAAAGGCCGACACCGCCTCCCGCTGAAAGAGCGGCCGTGTGTGGGCCAAGAAAGCGCGATGCCGGCCGGGTTTGCGGAAACAAGCAGAAAGCAACTTCAGGAACCACCTGAACAAGAACAGCACTGGATGCGGCTGTTCCCACGCTCGAGCGCTCTAGAATTCACAGCCACATTTGCTGCATGCTGGATGTGAGACAGGTGAAACAAGCGGCCGGATCATTTTTTGCCCTTCTTCTTTGATGCCTTTGCTGCCTGAGTTGGTCTTTAGGCACCGAATACGTACCGAACAGAGAAGGTGCCAAAGCAGAGAGTTCATGCCGACTGACAGAAGATAAAAAGAGAGACTCGGAAGGTGAGAGCTGGAGAGAGAGCTGGAGAGAGGCGAATCCGGTTTTTTCTGTGAGGACTCGTTTCTGCACCTCTACATGAAACAGGATAGCGTCTAAAGAACCTGGAGAACATTGCATCGATCCACATGTTTTCGATGCCACATGATGGAGCTTTCGAAGGTGTGGCTCGGGTGACTCGTGACCATGCCTTGAGGCGCATCTCTTCTTCTGTTTGCTTTTTGTCCACCAGCAGGCGCTCAATCTTATCGAGCCTGGGCTCGCATCTGGCACTTTGATGCACTTGTTTTGCACTTTGATGCACTCGAAATTGCACCAATGGCGACGACATCTTTGAAAGCGACACAAAGCCAGTGGGGAGCAAACTGCTCCAGCGCTGTGTTCATGAGCACGTCCGAGATCTGCCCCCAAGCAGTCTTTCGAGAGCCACGTCAACGCTCCATACAATCTACACGGTAACAACATCTGCCCAATCACGAGTTGTGGCAAAACGCACCCCATGCTGTCGCATCCAACTCTTTATCCTTGCTCATCTCCCCCTAAATCTCACCCATCACAGCAGCGATCGGCATCTAAGGAACTCGAGTCGGCCTGATCACGTTCCGCATCCTCCATGACCCGCTTGAAGTCCTGCGGGACGTGAACGAAAAGAAAAACCAAGCATCGACAGTAGACTCAGTTGACCTTCGCAGGCCCAAAAGTGTACAAAGGTGTGACCTCGTGAAACTCTTCAAACCTCTCCGTGTCACGAGACCAGTCCGGCATCTCTTCCTTATTCAATGGCAGAACTGATGAGCAATCTCCGAGATGCTGAGTCAACCGAGTCTACCACCCTCCCTTCAGCTTCCTTGAAGCAGTCGACTTCACATAAGACTGCCTTGGTCAGAAGCGCGAGCTGTTTGCAGCTTCAAATCGCTTCAAGCCGCAACTGCACAGCCAAACATTCAGCACGCAACCGCTTACAAGAACTGCGCGAAAGTTGTCATGTATGGAAATGCTGCAATTCATCCGAAACATGCTGGTTGTTGAGAAGCGCCTGCCAAAGGACTGCAACGCAAATTGCAGCTGTGCGACTGTGGCCGAAATTCGCTGCTGCACTTCACTTTCACTTCTCAGTCGTGCTATGAGCCTGGCAGAAGCTCAGTGCTGCAAGTTGCCACATAGTCACGGCTGTGAGGCCGTTCTTGGGCCCCAGCTTGGACGCTTGCAGCACGAGCTCTTCGTTTGCATTTTCTGCCTTTGCTGCTGTCAGCAGCTCCTCGTGAGCATGTGAGGCGATGAAAGGTATGGCGATAATCGGAGAAAATGTCGGACAAAATGGGCGGTTTGCACTTACAGCATCAGGGCCTGCAGCATGGAAATATGAGCCACAGTGGTCTTCTGCTGGCCGAGGACAGTTCGCATGAGCGACGCCTAAGCACGCAACAACTACAAAGAGCATCATGTTGATGCGCCCGTACAAGCGGGTAGGTTAAGTCACATCTTTGCGTGTGAAGTCACATCTCCCCAGTGACACGCGGCTGCGAGCGAAGTCACATCATCCCGCGCAACATCGCATCACAGAGACGTACGTTGAAGCCTTTCCCCCTATGTGCACGCGCCGCACGCGCGTGTTCTCGACACATATGCAAAATACGCATTTGTCACCGCACGCCTGGAGGGGAGCACATTTTTGTCAGCGTGAATGAGATTTCTGCTTGGGGGTGCAAGTGGGTTCTGACCAATCTTGGAATTCGCGAATCCCCAGTGTGCACGCGCCCGAGATACGACTTTACACAAGAAGATACGACTTAACCTACCCGCTTGTACAGTCTGGCACTCCGCACTCACCAAGACATTAACTGGAGCACATGAGAATAACATGGTCTCAAAAGCATGGAGTAGGGGTGACTCGAGACTAGCGGAACAGCAAGGGACAGAACTGGCCGAGCTCATCTCGAACAGAAATACACTGGCCACTCGCCAACCCAAACTTGTACAAAGCTGCTGAGGTAGTGGAGCCAAAGGCTGATACGCAATGACAAAGACACAGAAGGGAAAGCAGCAACGTTTCCTCGAGCGATCCACTCCCAAAAGATGACTGAACACCCTTTCAGATTAAAGCCCCGACAGGACCAGCTTGTGGGTCGGAGCATCTGATTCGCCCCATAGCAAAACACGAAAGAGGCTCAACTCAAGAGAAGGCCTGGGTACGGGGTCAGTAAAGAAAGTCATGCAGCTGGAAATCGGAGGAGGAGGAGGAGGACGAGACCCCAACCGAAACCGCAAGCATGAAGAAGCAGCCCCAGGTTTCTGCACCACTTCGCTTTGACTTTTTAAAGGGATGTGTTTCCTCATGGTGTCCGGAGGCCTAACCAGTTTACAGGTCCATGAAAAATCAAGAGAAGTACCCGACCGTCTGCACGACAGTGTCAAGATTGCGCGAGCTGAACAGCTGAAAAAGCGGACGCACAAACTGTTGCATTTGCATAGTCCTTAAAGAGCTGGAACATACTGGAACTTTGACAAAGCAGGCTTTACATTGTAGCTTCGGTGTTGCTTCTGCTTGGTTGGTTGCTGTGGATGCGTGGGTAGAACCTCTGCTAAACTGCAAGGCGCACGTGTGCGAAACGATTGTGCAGGGAATCCCAAAGCTTGAATGACATCCACTGCTTCCATTTGACACATGTTGTAACTCTTAGGTTGCACAACGAGCATAAACTCCTCACGAAGGAACCAAAAGGACGTGACCTCTGCAAGCAGCTTCCGCCGCAGTGTCTTCGCAGCTTGGACCTGGCAATCATAGCGGCTGTGTCATCCCTTGAACAATGCACTGAGTGCACTTCTTGCGTCTGCTTGCCGTTCCGTCTGCTGAGGAACAATCCCGAACCGGATCTGCTTTCTTGGCGACCGCGTCATCGATTGCCTTCATAGACATTCCAAAGATCTGCCCAGATCTTCTGGTTTTGCACAGGATTCGAGGTAGAATGCAGCCTTACTCAAAGCATCATGCACGCTGTCAAACTCGTCGAGGTCGGTGATGGTCTTAGAGAGGCGGTCCACATACTTAATATCATCTTGACTGCAGCAAAATAGCACTGGACATCATGCCGTCACCCACAAAAGAGTAGAACACTAGGTTGTAATGCATCCACATACCAACTACGTCAGCTTGCTTGACACCTAAGGAGGGGGAAGCCACGATCATAGACGCTTGCGAGTTGTTGCGGATGCTTTACGCTTGAAGGCGGGTTCGGACACCCGAAAGCCAATCTGGTCCTGCGATGGCGATGCACTGTAACAACTCAACGACAACAGCAAAGGACGGCAGTGCTGGGGCTCAACAACACAAGACGAACGCACAGAAGACTAGCAAACAAAACTTGTGGCAAACACGTCTGGGACTGGCCTTGCCAGCCTAGTTGCGTTGCCTCATTTGCCTGGTGCTTAAGCTTTAGTGACTTGCGTTTTTGCCGATTGTCATCGCTTCCTCTGTGAATATACAGCGCAGCCTCATTTGCAGAGCAGGTCCAGCAGACGATGCTGGTTGCATTCAGGGGCCCGTATAAGAATTGCAAGATGTCGTTGCAAATGCCATCTTGGTTGAAGGCGTTCATTCCTGCAAGAAGAGGAATCCGGCCACACAAGAATTGGACGCTACTGCCATGGACCATGCAGAAGAAGACAAAGATCATTGTCCCGTTTTGTTCCAGCTCCGTGGTGCTGCGCGCAGGTTCGGGACTCGACGACCACCCCCCCAATTCCCCCACATCACCCCGCCTCGGTGGCACCGTCGGCGACAGTGTTACATGTTTAACTCAGTCACATCCTTTGGCGGCTTTGAAAGGGTCAATCCGTGCAGCTGTTTTTATTTGTTCCAACGGGCGTGGCGGCAGTGTGGTCGTAAAATGCTCCCGCATGCTCCCGCCGAGCAACGCTGAGCGACACCGACCGAGGCCGACCGAGGCCGAGCGACGCCGAGCGACGCCGAGCGACACCGGCCGAGCGACGCCGAGCGGCGCCGAGTGGCGCCGAGTGGCGCCGAGTGGCGCCGAGTGGCGCCGAGTGGCGCCGAGTGGCGCCGAGTGGCGCCGAGTGGCGCCGAGCGCCGAGCAACGCCGAGCGCCAAGCGAAGAGTGAAGCCAAGTTCGGGCCGCTCGCTGGGTGTAGGGTTTAGGGTTAGGGTTAAGGTTGTAGGGTCTAGGGGCTAAGCTCTAGATCCTGGGACGGAAGCCTACACCCTGACCCGTAAACCTTGCAGTCTTACCCCTACACACTTAACCCGTTAATCAAACCCCAAATCCCTCAAACTTGGACTCCACCTTCCGTCCACCTCTCTCAAGAAGGCTTGGCAAGCCTTCAGGTCGATCCTTCCAGTCTACAGAAGATTCATATACGACAACATATGCCGTAGTGGAAAATCCCTAGATGCAGCATTGAAACCAACAATACTCATTGTAGCTTGTGTTCCCGACGTAGCTCTGTAGCGCTTGTCTCCGCGCGTCGAGCGCCGCTGCATGAGCGCCGCCGACGCCGAGCGGCGCCGAGCGACGCCGAACGACGCCGACCGACGCCGAGCGACGTCGAGCGATGTCGAGCGCCAAGCGACGCTGAGCGCCGAGCGACAACGGGCGACACCGAGTCCGCGCATCGCTCATCTTCCCTCGTCTTCCCTCGTCTTCCCTCGTCTTCGCTCGTCTCCGCACGCAATCCAACGTTTAGTTCTTTTGGTTATCGGCGTCTTGGGCTGCGTGGTCGCTGAACATGCTGCTGAACACGTCCTTTTACCATTGGTTTGCGCTCGTGGGTTGCGCTAGTTCGCCGGGCAGGGTTTTGTGAATTGCTTTCTTACTTGCCCAGAGTCTGGTTACAGAGAAAGTATGATGCTCATCACAACGTCGGCCACCACATGCGCCTGTCCGACTTGGATGTAACGTGGCTGCACTAGTTACTATTCCACTCTTGACCTCTGTGATTGAAGCGATGAAACACTTTCGGAGCCTCTCTGCGAAGTCGCAAGGGACAAGGACTTTAGGCCGTGGCCCTTAAAACCCTCTGAAAGATATTCCTGAAGATGATCATCTTTAACCCAAGAAAGGTAAATATCAAATGTCCCAAGGGCCTAGTCACCTCACCCTATAGTACTATATAGCGCTACTGCGTTTCGCCTCGGCGCAGGCACGTCAATTGGAGACATGAGGCGACTGAGCGGTACTGCTGGATTTCAGCTTCCCATCGCTGTAGCGTGGCGAAGTGGCAACGAGACTCAAGGGATTTGGCTCTGCCAAAGTGGGAGGGACCGAGTCAGATGTCCATGGTAGGGCCAGAAAAGGAGGGGCAGAGGGCCGAGGCCGGTCCAGATTTTTGGAAGGGGGAGTCCCTGGGCCTTTTGGTGCCGACCGTGCACTTGTGCCATCACGGATGCAGGCGTTGTGGGTCGTGCCTGGTGCCCCCCGAACACTTTAGGGTCTTTACTTGTTTAGGTCTGGGGCTGCATAGTTGCCGCCCTGCTTCCAGAAATGCAACTACTCGCGCGCAGCTTCGTAAACTAGCTGGTAGCAAATGCTTTCAAGGGGTCTCAGGGTTCTCAAAGGCACTTCATAAATGTTGTCGTCCTATTCGAATGTTTTCAGATGTTTTCAGGATTCAAAGGGAAACTCACATCCCCACTGCAAAAATTTACAGGTTTTCCTCGGTCAAGTAGAGCTCACCGTCGAAACACATGCCCGGTATTTTCACCCCTCGGCTTCATTCATGCCATGCATTGTGTGATACTGTATTGTCTGTGCAGGATGTTTTTGCGTATCACTGAATCCGACTGGTCGAAGGGTAAGATTCCAGGTTGCTAGGCTCTTCGATTTCCTTTCCACGCCCAGAATCTTTGTGCCGCCCCTCAAAGTCCGCACGCTTTCCAAAACCAGACCGCCCGGCAAGGAGACACCAGGTCCCGGGGCGCAAACATTGCAAAGCTTCTACTGGGTAGCTTTAATGCTGCCTGACAGATGATAACCTAGAGAACTTAGCTCCTGGCAGTCACCTGCATGGCCTTGCCCAACTGGATCTCCGACTCCAGCTTCTCCTTGTTTCGGTTCTCTGCAACTCTGCAACTCTCAAATTCTACAGAATTCTACAGATGGTCCTTCAGCTGGTTGCATTGGTGCACCAGCTTGCAGTCGACCGGCTTGTCCTGGCACTCTTCCGGGTTGGCTCTTGGCAGTTGGATTTAGCTGGAATTGTTCGGATTTGTTCTGAATGGTTCTGAATGGCTCTGAGTTGTTCTGAGCTGAGCAAGTCTTGGCATGTCCTCTTGCCATGCCCTCCCTACTCCAATAAACATGCCGGGTTAACGGCAGCTGCTTCCAAAGCGGCCGTGACGGTCTCCAGCTGATTCAGGTGCATAGCCTTGACTTTATGGACTGGTTGTCACGCTTTCGTACCTCGTGCTGCTCGACAGGACAATCCGAGGTGCAGGCATGGTTAAGCTGATGTTCCAGCTCCTGAATGGTTGCTCTGACCTTGCGATCACCATATTGCTAGGCTCTCGATTGTCACGATTCTGCCACCGGCCCTGGCCTCATTGCACCAGGTTACAGGTTTCTCCTGGCATAAGCGCAATCTGGCCAAAAATTCCGTCTGGGCTGCGACTGTGTCCAGACACAACGAGAAAGTTGGGCCTTCTCAGTGGCCTCTGGATGCTCATACACCTGCCGAAGTTAGACTCTGGTCGCCTAGAGGACCTAGAGGGCCCAGAGGAGGACTACTTTCTCAGAGCGATCTTCCAAGTTAACGCAGATTTTTGACCTGCACACAAACGTTCTTGAGTTCCCAACAAAGGTCTGTGTGATCTCCTTCTCGCAGAACACATCCAAAGACCTTGGAACACAAAAAGCTTTGCTCTGTGCATACTGTGGTCCATCCAAGCTGCCGAAACCTCACTTCCGGGCACTGGACCACGAGCACAAGTATCTCAAAACCGTCGAGGAAAACTGCTTCCCAGATGCCTCTGCAAATGTTCACGGTTCTGTCCTGCTCATGCTTAAGTCGCTGAACAGCCTCAGCCCCTCTTTTCTCGGTCTAGTCGAACCGCTTCATCTGCTCACCGACAGCTGCCAATCTCTTGGCTATGGAAACGCGAAACGCTATATTTTACAAGAATTGGGGAAGGACATGTGCCAGACACTGTTGCGACACGGAAACTGGGTCTGTTACCAACCGATATCCATGCTTGTCGTGGGCACCAATCAAACGCTTGCAGTGCAGCTTCTAGTCAGTGACAGCTTCCTGCAACATGCAACGGTACTCGATTTGACCCGCATGGTCTTCATGGGTGGTCGGGGCTTCGCATACCCTCCGGGAGTCTCGGTTTTGGCGTGAAAGCTCTCGAATGCAGCCTACACAGAAGGTTGGCCTCTTCGGGTTCTTTCGGCATGTCTTGGCGCTGACCAAACCTTTCGCCTTCCTGGGAGCCAGGTCCTCCTGCTGTCTGTCACTTTGACATGCGCCCCTGGCAAAAAACACCAGAAGGCCAGGAAGGTGCTTTGCTGCATGATTGTTGTGAGGCCCGTGCGAGGTACGAGTATGTATGCCGTCAAGTGAGGGCTGGGGCAGCAAAGCAAGGTTTATGACCGCGATCGCGTGCACACGTCCCTGAAGCCGCACGATAAAGCTAAGAACGCTCTGCCGCCTTTGCCGCCAAACGTGTTCCTTTTGCCATGCCCGCCCACCTCACCCCAACCATGGAGATCATGCTTAATTATCAGCTGTACTTTGCTGAAAACAAAAATCACATTGACTCGACAGTTTCAATGTGCCTTAAACCCTCAAACAAAGTCTCGCATGGCTTGACATGTTCCTATTCAGGAAGCAGTGGCTAAACCACCACAACCACCATAACGAACAAAACATGAGGACTACCTCATGGCAATGCCACTTAAGCAAACGACCAAAATTGCCTTGCAGGCCGTGGCATTCATTGCATTCTGCAGAAGTTGCTGTACCTGCATTCCAATGACAACTATTGTCAGACTGTTAATGCACAATTAGTCAAGCAAACCAAGAAGGCACTGCAATGTGTTGGCCAGGCGCACATCTGGATCCGTGCATAACGCAAAAGGCGTGTGCCCTCGGTCATTCTTGGCGAGGACATCGCAACCCTGAAAAGCAAACATTGGAATAGCAGAGCCCGCCCGCCCATGCGCCAAACTACTCCGACTGGGTGACTTCCTTGCCTGTGCCATCAAGCACTTCGCACACCTGTGATGTTCCCAAGCATCTTGAAGAGAAAAGAAGATAGTGATCAGATAGCGCAGACATGTGAATGGACGTTGACACGCTGACATGTGCAGACACATCAAGGCTGGAGCTCCAGGTTTCCTCCTGCAGCCGCCTGATGTAGAGGCGTGTTGCCTATGGCGTCCTGGAAACTTTAGAGGAACATTCCAAAAAAAAAGTCTTCGCTGCCTCGCTCTCTCTCTCTCTCTGCCTCATTTCCTCTCTGTGTGTCTGTGTCTCTGCGTCTTAGAGAGTTTCAGGTGTAGCACCAGGTCCCTTTCGTGATGCGAGAGGTTCTGCGGCGGCGCCATCAGCAACCACAAGACCTCCCATTGCTTAGGATTCACCTCTTGCACGTTCAAATTTAGCCAACAAATACAACACCAGCAGAAACGGGACTCTTTTTCAACCGACCCTTCACCACAAGCATCTATCTGTCTTTGTAGAACGACCAGTACAACCATCACCGCTAGTGACCACATCTCACTAGACTGATCGTTCATCCGGATTGCTGCGAAAGCGCTTTGCACTTCATCGCAGAATCGGTGCATTTGCCTCGTGCAGCAATGGACTGCACGTTCATGTTAAAAGAAGCTTCAGAGTCAGCTTGAGTTCAGCAAGCTGCCTTCTGAGAAGCTACTTGCGTCGAATCACTCTCAATGAAAGCGCTGCATCCAACAAGCATCTTGCTGAGCCTTGTCTTGAGTTCTGTCCGCCCAAACGTAGCCAGGTTCGAAACGTTCACACCATGAGAGTGAACATGCACGAACATACGCTACAGCCGTGATACGCTACAGCCGTGAGGCTTCTAGCGAATTTTAGCATCACCCTCCAGGAACACCAAGGCGACTTGATGCTGCCTGGACGGAATCAGAAAGATGTGAGAAGAACAGGTTGCTGCTTGGCACATCTGAGACCCGAAACCATGCCAGCAAGGGAGGATGGCTTCGTGCGATGTTGGGAAGGATCACGCGGTGGTGGTGGCGCAGGGCTCCTGGGGGAAACGGCGGAGCAGGCGCATGGTAGCAGAGATGGGCACAGGAAATGATTGATTGATTGATTGACTGCCTGGGCACAGGAAAAGGCTAAATCTCTCTGCAAAGCTCCATGGGGCCCGCACCCTGGAGCACCTGGCGGAGGTGGCCTCAGCAATTTCGCATCTCAACTTCCTGGAAAAGCAACAGCTGCATGAAATAAAAAGAGTGGTGTCGCTTGCATGTCAGAACACGCTGCAACCATGGACTACCGTTCTCAGCTCTGGACGGTCGGATGGGGCTAGCAGAACGACCCTGCACGAAAGCTCGTAGCCAAGTCACTACACATCACTACAGCACACCCGAGCGCTTGGCAGATGCATAAGAATGGGAGTGCTGCATGTCAAACTCTCCGAAGTGAGCAGTCCTGTCCCAAACATCATGTATTCAATGTATTCTACACTATCTAAGATATCACAATGCTGTAGTGCAATTCTGCGAACTCATTGCAAGACGCTGCCAGAGTGCAGCACTCAGACTTGGCAGTGTGCTGGGGCAGCCTTTCAGCTTCCGCGTCTCCAAACTTCGCAGTCTCATCCCAGTCGGAACCTTCTGGCACAAGCCCAGTAGCTGTAGATAGCTGCAGGCAGCGGAGCTCTTTGTTCCGTCACTTCTAAGCCGAGCACTGTGGCGCGGGCGTGACGATGACCGGTGACGAGCACTGGTGGACCTTTGGCTTGCCCCATCATCTGGAATTTAGAAACTATATACAATGCTATCATCTCTGTGATGCCATGGCATGCCGCGGTATGTAGCAAGGCCATCGCGACTTGGAAGCACCACGCACGGGAGGCGGAGTGGCCACACGAGATCCCGATCTGGAGTTGCCTGCTCAAGAGCCACATTGTACCAACCCAACCCCAATTCTCTGGATGCCATACTCTTGGCGGCATGAGCTCTCCGACGGAGGGCGTCACCCTCACACACTGGAACCGTCGTAGGTCAACGTGCACACATTTAGCCGGGAAGTCGAAGCGACGCAACTGAAGAGCATTGGTCGAGACTGATCGGTCGGCAGGTGTCGACCACATAACACGCATCAACAACAGTCTCGTCCATGTCACGCAAATTGAAGGATTCATCCACAAACCTCCGCTCACTCAGCCTTCAAATTTTATCCTACCTGTCCTCACAAGGTAGTGCTCCCACTGTTCTGTCTGACACACCCTAAATCCTCTGACATGCAGCAGTACTCAGCTGCTCCGGGCCCTTACAGACATCCTGCTGCATCCTGCCTTGTACAGGCGTGCAGGCTGGTGATACGTTCCGGCTACTTCCTGAATCGCGATGGCTGAGAGTGAAGCACTTTGAAAAGGATTCTTCTGACGCAAAAAAGAAACCTAAAACATCATGACGCTCTTTTAGGTTGCTTGCTCACCCGATGGACTGGCGGGAGAATGTCGCCCCCGGCTGCAGCCTGCAGGTTTCGTTGTGATTCCGACCAAGCCGACACTCCCTCCTTTCACACACGAAGCAGGCCTGGACATCCGGCGCCATCTCCTCCTGCAAGGCAAGCCTCGGGGTAAAAAAACACCCGCTCCTCGTCCGCGCATGCGTCGATGTTGCTGCAAGTTGCGAGGCCCTGCTAGGCTAGGCGGAACGCAGCTCGGAACAGCCAGGTAAGACCTGCCGAGGCCGGAAGAAAGCATTTACATTTTTGGAGTTTCGACAGTTTCGAGGTGTTACCTGCAAGGCCGCTTCCAGCTGCCGCTGAGCCTAAGAGTGCGGGAGATGAGAAGCAACTAACAGACGATACTCGGCCAGAATGCTGAGGCCTTAGCTAGAACAGCATTGCCCTCTTTCCACAGCGCCTTGGCGAGCAGGAACCATCCTCGGTGCAAAGCTGAGAGCAGAACCATCCCCACGTTACAGGAACAGCTGCAACCCCACAAAATTTCGAAACGTGAGGCGCCGGCCCTTCATGAAATCTGGTTTCATCTCCACCACAGCCGTCGCGTCCTTGGACTCTCAGACTCCGCTCCCATTCTCACTTCCAGGGACCCTCTCAGCACGGTGCCTCTCTGCATCTTACCCAATCCTGCATTGCAACAGTGTTCTGACTCATTGCACTGCATCCACCACCCCTTGCACCATCACCCTGACAGATTCAATTATCTTGAAATCTGACAGGGTCAAGCCCCCCCTGCCTCCTGTGCGCTAGGGCAACACTTCGATACGACGATACGATGCGATACGCCGATGAAGTGTGGGCTCCACTGGAGCGAGGGCGCCGAACGGTGTATCAGTGTATCGGTGTATCGGTGTTGGGCTGTTTTCATGGCGCTGTTGGTTCCACTTGTCGCACGTGCTTTAGACTTTGCAACTAACTGGCTTCGCAAAAACCGAAATGTCTGGGAAAAAATGTGGGGCCAACGGCTTCAAAAGACAACAACGTACTTGCTACATGAGAAATGCCTCTTTGCAGATGCAGCAGCAGCAGCAGCAGCAGCAACAGCGGCATTTGCAACAGCAGCAACCAAAACAGCAACCAACAGGAACAGCGAGCAAGAAGAAGAATCGGCAAGAGCGGCAACGAGAACTTCAAGTATTGTTCTGACAACTTTTAACTAGAACTCGAACCAGAACTATAACTACAACTATACACTTGGGGGTGAGGGCCTGGGACGAAAGCTAGTTAAGGTACTCCCACGGAAGAGCTTCCGTCAACATGGCATCAACCACGCAGCAGGACAAGCACACGCAAAGGCAGCAGGCCGTGTCACACATCAAGGCTTCTGAGTCTTTTCTTAGGGGGCTTTTCTGTTAGCATCTTCCGGAGGGCTCTTTTTTGAAGCGCATGACACCACAACAGATGTTGCACTCACCAGGCGAAGTCTGTCCAATCCAGCTTTGAGGGACGCCGGACTCAAGTCAACATCAAGGCTTCTGAGTCTTTTCTTGGGGGGCTTTTTTGTGGCCTGGGATCCACAGAAAACGGCGTTCATGTGCACCCAATATACGAAAGAAATGAACGCCCGCCCGTTTCCCCAAAACCTGTGTTTCGCCACCGGAAATCGACCGGGTTTGCTGCGTTTCGTGGCGGAGCCTCCGGGGGCCCTGTATACCCTTCAGGTTGTAAGCTTCGCTTAAGTAAGATACTCCGCTAGCCCTCAGAGGCTAGCTTTCGTGATAAAGCCAGAACTCGAACTATAGCCATGGCTATGATTTGGCAGTCGTTGTCATGGAATCGCTGCACGTTAACGGAGAATCAAAGAGTTCAGTGCAGCTCACGATTCGGAGTGTGGGAAGCAACAAAGACTGCAAAAAACAACAACCTACATGCGTATGGGAAAGCACAAGACAGGATCTGCGCAGGTCCCTATCAACACACACAGGTAGAGCATGCCGCTTTGCTAATTTGGCGCTTCGTGTCGAGTCCGTACTTGCCGAGCCTTCAGCGCACTGTAGCACAACGCACGATTGCTGCGAATGCGGTGTTCCTCGCACATGGCTTTGCTGTGCGACAGTATCGCAGCAATCGTGTGACTTGTGTGACTTCGTTCTTTGGCCTGAGGGGCCAGGGCAATGCCTTCAGAGTATCTTTCGATGGCTGCCTGTAAAGGCACATCCGGAGCTGCCGGAGCTTCGCCCCCATGCTTCACATCACATTGCTTTTATCTTGGTTTACTTTCGAATACTTGCACATGCACCATCTTGCACCTGGTACTTTGTCAGTGCTCCGGTTGCAGCAGACAGGCCTTGGCACAATCAGGCAACACCTTCGAGGCACCAAGCAAACCTATGCCAACATCGAACCTTGAGGTGGGAACTGTCAGGTCCAGACATCTTCGACAAGGCCTAACCAGCGCTCGCAACAGTCACAGAAAGTGTAAACAAATTTGAAGCTTTGAACTCCTGCGCACGAATTCGCTGAGAGCGTGCCTGGGCTTCCTTGTAAAGCTCGTTGCCTTCCCTCCGCCGTGCCTACAAGAAGACAACATCTCATAAAACGCACGTGGGACAGCGCAAGAGCCCAATGGACGATGATATGATTCAAGGTGTGGCTAGACCTCGTTCACAACGCTATGCTGTTCACCGTTTCCAGCTGTCGGGCAGCTTTCAAAGCTGAGAATTGCAGGATCTTGCTGATCACCAAGCTTCACATGAGCTTCCAGATGCAGCATTCCCACCAGCCAGGGGTGTTTGCACGGCTGCGTGTCGGGTGCGTGGGTGCGTGGTGGGGGGGCCTCTTGCAACACATGCCAAGTGCAGCCACATGCTGTTCATTGCCGCACTTCCTACTGCGGTCCTCAAGATTTCTTTGAAAACTCCAAAGACTCTACATCAGAGGTTCTCATATGGAGACCCCTACTGGTTTCCCCCCTCTTTTTTTGCTCAACGAAGTGCATTTTTCCACTTGTGTTTTGGAATTGTTTTGCCAAACCCCTTCCCGGGTGCCCCAAAAGCGGTGATTGTGCCTCCAAGGTTCAAGTAGTACTACCCTGGGGAATGCAGTTCCCCGATGTGGACGCGAAGCAATGACAACGAGGCCGACTTCGACGCATCAAGAGATGCTGTGGAACGCTGTTCCCTGATGCGGACGACCCATCGATGCGTAAAAAACCTAGCGAAGCGAGTACGTGCATTAACGAATATTATTGACTCTCTCTACATTTTGACCGTCTCCATTGGGAGTGAATGGATGGTTGGGGGAGGGTTGGGGATGGTTGTGGGATCAAGATTGATCCTATCAGTCAATTTGAACCACCGAACCAGGGGTCCAGAGACCTGCACGTGTCAGCGTGTGAAGTGTGTGAGGGCTCAGGGCTTTGGGGATTTGGCCGCTTGAGGGTTACGGGTTTGGGGGTTCAAGGATTTGGGGTTAGGATTTCAGGTTTGGCCCTGTGCCAAGCACTTGGGGATACAAACAGATGGCCTTGGCTTGCCCCTCAAGTGAAAAGGCTGCCGCCCTCAATCCTCTATAGCACAGCCAAGACATGCAGAGCTTGGACGACTACTGTTGCAGAGGGAAGTCTAATCAAGCCTCCGGGGTTTCTTGGATTTTCGAGACGGGCTGAGGCCCGGCCCATGCACAGCGTTTGCAATTACAGCACTTGCAGCATTCTAGCTGTTCGTAACGTTCCAGGGCTTGGTTTTACCTTGCTGTTGTAGAAAATGTTGCCTGTGGCTTCGATTCCGATTCTACGAAAGAGTGGGACGTTGGGCGACAGTCACTGGTCAACAAGAGGCCCCCTTCGTGTGAATCGCTCAATGTTGAAACCCCCCCACCGCTCATCCCACGATAGAATCAATAGCTCGCAGCTTTCCGGACCTTGTCCGACCTGACCTGCTAAAGCCAGACAAAACTCCAGCATAGCTCTGCTCGATTTCGTGATTTGAAACAATGTCAGCGCAAGGCTTTGCCCTTTGCATTGCATGGATTCAAAGATCTTGCCTGTGAAGGCATGGGGTATGTTTAACAAGGTGGAGCCAAACTTTCTCGGCGTTTGCAGATATGGCTGTGGCTTTGTGGAAGCAGGAGGTTTGCGAAGGCACAACCCGAAAACGAAAGTAAACATGTACCAGTGGCTGCAATCATTTTTGCCCTGGCAGAGAAGAGCTCTGGACTTTCAGGTGCGTATGCGGCTTCCGTTGATCACCAAGCTTCAGGCTGATCATGCCACGTGGAACTGACAAATCAACAGGGACTGCATGATGCTGAAGCAAACTAGCAGCTAGCACAAACTCTGCCTCGGCAAACTCCGCCGCAGACAGCTCCCTCCTGACAGCAGCAGAATAAGGAGCATTGAACTACAACCGGAACCGAAAAGTCCTGCATGTGCTTGAATGATTGAACACACCAATGAGAACGCGGAACCAACTCTCCGTACACGGATTGCACACGTTAAAGTCACATGGTTCACTGAAAGCAGGTCGCTTCCACGGCATGCAAACAAGATCACACAGCGATGGCGATACGTCGTCACGCTTCCTGCGAGTACTGCTCTGCAAGATGTGATTGTGGTTGCAACAACCCAGCGATCGAACGATGGCAAAGATGGCCTTCAAATTGCCTCTACTTGTCAATAGATGCACATAGATGCACAGGTACACCACACAAAACAGAACAGAAGCTGATAGGCCAAATTCACAAAGCCAAAGCCCTGGGGGCGGAAGCTTGAAGGGGGCAGCGTGCGCATTGGCACAGCACTGGCACAATAGAACTGGTGCAGATTGGTGGAAATGTCCACAAGAGCTTGAGCAGACTTGCCAGCTTGCGGTCGCGGCGATTGATTCTCGGCTTTCGCATCAGGAGTTTCTGATTCCAGGGTGTTTGCACGAGCCATATTGAAGTCGATTGCTGTGATACACACCAAACACCGATTTTCAGCGTATGACACCTCCCCTTTAATTTGTCGCTCCTGCTTTGACTGCATGCCGCTCGCCACTGAATTTCGTTACATTGCTTTGTTCATGCATGGCATACGGCACATTGCAAAACATCCTGTATCCGTACAGAAGTTGATAGCCTTGATAACCATGCAAGTGCATCGTGTAAAAACTCTCCTCATCTTCGTCCAAATGATGTCATAGGCCTTGCGCTTCTCAGAATCCTGGAACAAGATCTACCACAACGTAACGTGGGTCAAAGACATACCAGCATACACAACATCCGCAGAGCGACAGCTAACGCCAGCTACGTATCAAACCCAAGAAATTGAGGATCATCATGGATCACCCCGTCTGGCATCGTGTTGCATCGTGTGTTGCACCCTTCGCCTGCAGCACGGTCCAAGCATCCAGCACCGCTTGTGTGACCTCGACTGGCACATGCAATCCCATGCACCACACTCCTCCCACCAACAGACCCTGCGAAAGCTTTTGTCCGAGCCCCTGACCCGGCCGCCGGTTTCACCCCGGCTTTCAGGCCTCTTGTCCGGATGAAATTCCCGGAGCTTCTCGTGATATGCCTCGCACAGGGACACAGCCATAGAACTCAATGGACTCTCCCAGCGCACTTCGCAGTGCGACCCTCTTGAGTTCTGATGCCGATGACTCTGGAGTGCATCCCAGAACCTAGCAGAGCCAATGCTTAGAGCCAATGACAGCAGTCTGCAAGAAGCCGAAGCTACATCTTGGCCTCATAGTGGTCCACGAAGGGTGTACCATTGCCAGGTGGTGGTGGCGGCACAGGCATTGACAGTGTTGGCTTGCAGCGGCTTCACAGGCTAGATGAAGCATCCATGTTTCCGCCCTAGTGCAACCTTGAGGGAGAGGCAGTGGTTAATGCAGCGGACTGCGCTGTGATGTGGGAAAGTCGACGTCACTCGTGAAGCAACTTGGCTGCAACCCGATGATCAGGACGTAAGGTGCACTTGAATGGCAGCCGAAGTGTCTAAGTCTGAGGAAATGTTCTCCAACCGAATCCCACCCGAACGTGCCCTTGTTCAGTTGCCCAACAAGAGGGAGATGGGGTGTCCCAGTGGCAAGCAAAGTCATATTTGTGCAGCAACACATCCGAATATCAACCTTTGGACCAAGACGCGGATCAGCAATGCTGTACCATCCGAAGCAACAGATTCCATTCGTGGGATGCACTCTTCACTCACTGCAACACATCCCAAACCGCTGTCAGGCTTCTCCACTTGTCCAGGCTGACAGCAGCTGCAAATTGCGCACGCTGCACACAAGTAACGCTGAAGCACGTCTGCTAGGGATCATCCTGCACACAACTGTCGAGAGAATCCTTCCACCATCTACTGAAGCTCGGGATGCGTTTGCGGGGTGCGGAAAAGGAGTGCTCACTGCGCATAGGTACCTGCTTGTGATTCGCAAGCCTTCTTTTGCACTGTGTGGTGACACTCATTGGTCTGTGCCGTGACTTCTTCGTAGGATTTTCCTTTGCAGCCCTGTCAATTTGCACCTCACAATCCTGTTACGCCATGCTGCACACGGACAGTTTGATGTGTTTCAAGGTGTGCCGCCGAAACCTGGCGCTTTGGGTGTGACAGTGTGGGAGTGGCATCGGGCCAGCCCAACACGGAAGACCATGGCATCTTCAAATATCTTCAAGGGCCTTTGCAAGGTGCGCGAAAACCCTTCAGGCCCACCTTGAGATGGCCTTTGAACGCCGCCCAGTGGAGTGGGCTGTGCTTCTTTCGCACCTGAGGAGACTCTGAGGTGGAGACTTTGAAGAGTGCCGGTCAACCCAACCAGCCTTCGTGGTCTCATCAGACTTGTAGACCTGTCAATGTCCAAGTTGGTGCGGGATCGGGGGTGGGCAGCGTGGTGTGGGTGTCGTGCTGTAGGGTGTGGTGAGGTTGTGGGTTTGTGGTGGGGTTGTGGTGGGGTTGTGGTGGGGTTCGCTGGGGTGTTGTCGGTGGATGTGGGTGGGCGATTGGGGCGGTGGAGGTTGCGGGGAGGGTACTTTGGGAGGGGCATGATTTGTTTGAGATCTTTAGCATCGAAAACTTCGGGCCCATGAATTCGAACTTGTGAATCTTGTGTTTCACGACTGCATCTACATGTATCTTCCTGTGTAAACAAACACAAAGAAGCATTCCATCTTGAAGCGCTCTGGCTATGCCCTTTCAACATATGGTGGGAGATTAGCACCTTCCAGTTTCTCGGCGTGTGTTGAAAACACTGGCATCGAGATTCCACGATTTCAGATGGGCTTTCTTGTGATCGAAGCTCAGTCACAAATGTTGTTAGTCTGCACGAAGCTACACGACTCTAGATGAGATGGCCTCCGCGGCATTGTGCTTGATCAATAGTCTGGTAAGGTCCTGTCCATGGGAATGCTTCATTCCTCGACACAAAGATTTGTAATGTGCCTCGTTGCCATGTGAAGCAGCCCAGATCAGCGGGCTCCACCTTTCAAGGTCTGACCACCGTGATCGGTTTGACAGAAAAAGTTGCCACATGTTTCGCCACATGTTTCGCCACATGTTTTGCCATATCTTGCCATGTCAAGCCACTGCCGCTGATCTTCGCAGCACGGGTTCGCCCCCTGGGAGCAACACTCTGCTAGATGGCGTCTCCAACGGTAGGTAGCAAGGGCCTGCTCGATCAGCCGCTTAGCCGCTTCAGTGTCATTCCTGCAGTGACAGCTGCCTTTAGGGGCACAAAGTGCACTGAAGCCTCAGCGAGTCAACGACTGCGGAGAGGCAATCCTCACCGCCCCGTTCCAGGGGCAACGCTTCAGGCCGAGTTGCAGGACAGGCATGAGCATCGTAAAATTCGTAAGACATCGATTTAGGGTCACCGACACCACTAGGTTGGCAACACAAGCTGCAGCATGGCCTCATACACGCAGCCAATAAATCTGGATCCAAGGTGCCATCCTCTGAACCAAGAGAGCGTGACTAAGTTGGCTTGAACTGGCCTAAACCTGATGCTCGACGCCGACAACTCAAGTGCATTGAGCTGCCCAAGGCCGATGCAGCCTGATCGCCTTCGACATCCTCGTCTTCATCACGTGGCTCCTGCCGGTCCCAATGATGGATGATCCAAGCCTTGTTGTTGGCATAACAATTTAATCCGAAGCCAGTCTAGAAGTACGGGCTGTCGCAAAGCTGCCCTTCAGCAGCCATTCCCGACCAAACAAGAAACATGACTCAATCGGAAAGCATGTGCAAAGGCTCAAAAAAAACAAACGCATGCTTCCACGACACGTGACCACGACAGAAAACACAGTTTCCTCCTGGAGCCCTGCCATGCCAGGCTACTATTCCAAAATGCGTGCTTTTCCCGTGCGCAAACTAAACGTTAGTTAGCTCGAATGTACATTTTGCAACCGATCCAGACTGTTCATTCATCCCTGCCTGCCCTGCGTGCTGGGCCGCTACTTGTGCCACAATAACAAGCAGGCAACGCACGGCGACTCAAGTCCTCTGTCGCCATAAACAGAAACGCCGGGGCGATGCGAGACCTGCTGTTCAATCCAAGGCATATGTGTGTCACGTGCACCAAGAGTTTCCACCTGGACGGGTGAATGGGAAGGGCATCTACAACATCAACAATCGAGCATGACGGCGGCGGCATATGCAACACCAGACATGCAAAAGCCTGGAACGCCAAAAGCGTCCCAGCCAAAAGGACAAAACTTTTCCCTAACCACTTCTGAAGCTTGTGAACAAGCAGCGGAATGACAAAAAAAACTCTCATGATTACATGGCGTGTCAGAAAAAGCTATCCTCTTGTTTGTGGTGCGATATGACATTTTGGTTGTTCAAGTTATGCGAATCAACCGCCACTGACTAGAACACCGCCTGGGCGTGCTCCGATTGTTTTTCTCAACTTGGGGTGACAAACTCAATGCTTCAGTTCTGTCTGAAATTTCCCGAACACCCAGTTTTGATATGTTTTGATGTTTTGCGCGCTATGCAATTCTTCAAAAACAACTTTGCGAGGTAATCCATCTCCTGCATAAACTGTTGATACATGTTTGCCATAATTCCCACCTTCTGCGTTCCAGAATGAAGGAGGTTTTGGCCCTCGGAATGCTTAAGACACAAGCTTAACTCGGGAATCTTCGGTTTGCGCGTTCTGATGAAGCACCCGGAAGAGCCGGACTCGCGATTTCCGCGCTCCCGAAAACCCCGCAACCGCCCGGAACCGCCCGCCCGGAACTGCCCGGAACCACCCGGAACCGCCCGGAAGCGCCCAGACTTATGTCGTAAGCATTCCGGGAGCTTGGTGAGGGGGTGGGGGAGGGAGGGGGGCAAATTCAGGGGGACACCGAAGGAAATTTATGGATGACCCAAACCTTTTCACAAGCATGGTCGGATGATTCATCGGCAGATTCGCCGGCCACGTACTGTGATGTAGCTGCAGGTCCATCTCCAGCGCAGGGTAAGTATCTGGCTGTCCACGCGGCGTCAACACATTGGAGAGAGACATATATATATATATATATATACATATGCCCATGGTACACACATCCACACACACCTACATACCGTTACATACCCCCTGCAAAACCTTACACAGTAACATCCACACACTTCCACACCCGCGCACACGCGCACACACGCACACACGCACACACACACACACACACACACACACACACACACACACACAGAGACACACACACACACACAGCACCACTCGATTTTTCATCACGCAACAACCCTGAGATAGCCTTTTCGACAGGCAAGATCTCTGACGTGACCCGTCGGGCAGTAAACTTTCAAGGAATCGGGTTATCCTCAAAGAAAACCTATTCACAAAAAAATCGCTGGAACCGTGAAGATGGATGGAACACCCGTTTGAGCTCAAGGGCCAAAACGTATATTCCCACATTGCCAAGATGCACTACAACGCCATAAAGTCAAAACAGGCTTTACAGACAGATGAACGTGGTTGAATCACTGGCTTTCAAGAAAAGAGCAAGCAGCCAAGCAGAGAGTTCTTTCCCAGCTCCCATGTCTGTGCAAGAGCGAAAGCTGAGCAAGCGTCCCACTGGTTGCAAGACATCGCTGGTCTTCCATGCCCTATGCACTGGCAAACAAGCTTATGGGGCGTCCTTGAGCATCGAACTGGAGTGGGTCCAGGCCAGTGTTGCCGAACTTGCCCCTGTCTGTGCTGGTGGGGGGCGGTGGTCCACGTCTTTGGCTTGAGGACCAAACAGAGACTTTGGCACCAGTTCCAAACACATTGCCGATTGGTTCAGAGGTTAAAAACACGTTCTGGCCGACAGTCACTCTCTTGCTCTCAAGTTGCTTCGCACTTGCATCTGTCAAGACTTGTGGTGGTCAGCTCAAAGACTGTGGATTGCCTGGATGAACGACCAGCGGCGCCCTGGGGTCTTGCACATTTACTGCACTGGGTTTCGCTCTCACGGCCCAGGGTGCACTTGGTCGATTGAGAAGAGTGCAACAAATCCAGCGCCCTGCGAGGAACCATTTTTCGACCGCATCTGCAAATTCTGATGATGCTCCTCCAGGTGCCGCGCTTGACTATGGCCCCCCCCCTGGTTTGCATCAGGGCTTTCTGACATGAGGGACAGGCTGGGATGGGGGCGGTGCTGGTCCAACACTTCCAACATTGTGATCTGTTCAGCAGAATGGTCGGTGAAGACTGTTTAGCCGCATATGTGTGTATAGCTTATGCCGAGTTGGTTTACCTCGGCAGCCGAACTGGCACTCGTGCAAGAAGGGCTGCTGATCGTGCAATGTCCTCTGCAATTGGCCTACCGACACCATAGTTTGGGAGTGCGACTTCGGGACGGCACGAATACTCAGTCCACCTAATTCGGAACATACCTTTTGGCAAATCGTTTCCAATGGGCTGTTTTGATCATACTGAAGAATGCCAAACTTTTGCCACATTCGTAGATGAACTTTTTCAATTCAGCAATAGCATACTCGTTTCTCCTTCGGACGGAACAACGGACGGAACAACAACATCCAATCTGAATGTCACAAGCTGACAGGAATTTTCGCAATGGAAGCTTAGTGCTCGTAGCACGGAAACAATAGTTGACCTGAATGACAGGTTGTCGCTCAGAATGCTTGTTCGCAGAACCTTGTCGAACCTTTTTCTTGACACAACGTGAACACAAATCGAGTCGTTTCGTGCAAGGACCTCTCTGTCAATGAAGGTTCCACTGGAATCTTTGCTCCTGTTGCATTCCTAACTTGATGTTTGCGGTGTCTTGAATGGGTCTCTCGCCTTCGACAGGAACAGATGCGAACCCAGCAAATCCAGTCCATGCGTGGTGCAATTCTTCTTGGATGTGCTTTTGGGTCTTGTTCAATGCCATCATGACTGCTCATGTCACGCCACAAATCTTCAATCTCAATTCCATTCATTTCGGGAGATTGGGACTCAACAGTGCACATGTACCGCTTGGGAGTAAGCGAATCACCAATGCTACGGTCAGCAATGGGCGACGGTTCGTCATCAGGATGAACGGTACAGCTACGTTTCGCGTGAATCACACGAACCCAATAAATAGTTTGGTAACTGAAGTCAATAATCTGCGGTGCGTTGAACTCCTGACTCCTCCGTGGCGATGACTTCCACCACACTTGAGGACGCCGTGGGCGGCGCAGGAGTGGTAACCACGTCCTGAAGGTGGGGGGCTGGCGAAGAGGGAAGGCCCGGGCCATCACTGGCTTCAGGTCGAGGGTGGTCCGGGGCCGCCGCAGGAGTGGAAACCACATCCTGGGTTTCTTCCTTTACTTCAGCCTTCGCCTCCTGGGCCTTGGTCTCCTGAGGGTGCTGGAGAGCAAACAGGGTGGAATCACCAGGAAGCTGCTCGCGGAGCAGCTCGGACGGTGCAAAAGGCACACCCCCTGCCCGGGCCGCAATGCGGTTCACAGGGGTGCCAGAGCGGTGGGCCACGAGGGCAGCAAGCATGCCAAAAGAGCAGGAAGCATCCAGGGGGATGCGGAACGTGCGGGCCGTGTCTTCCGCCAGGGTAATGTCCAGCCGGAAGATGTCCGCACGACCAGCAGTGGAGCCCTGTGGGGCTGAGGAACCTTGAGCCGGGGTGGAACCCACACCCGGAGCAGAGGTAAAGCTCTCAGTGCTGGAGCACTCTTCTCCCTCGCTCACATTGGGTTGGCATGCAGCTGCGGCCTTGGCTTTAGCTTTGGCACGCTGTTCCTTGGTAGGCCTGCGGGTATTGCGTGCCGCGGAGGACCTAGAGATCCTGACATCATCGCCTTGGTCCTGGCGCTGACGACGCATCTGTCTGTACGCAGCTTCGTCCTCCGGGTTGTCTCTGTGTATGCTTCTGCCATACCCGCGGTCAACATTGCCAGCAGTGTCTTCCCACATTTGCCTACCACGCGCCCAGGTGTTAGGGTAGGCACCACCTTTTTGACCTTTACCCTTCATTTCCAGAAGGCGGCTAGGCCGGCTTGGGTACCAGAGCCGGGCGCACTACTTGTTTTGGGGGTTTTGCTTCTGGGCTTAGCCTTCCCTTTAGCTTTCCCCTTAGGTAAAACGGGAGTGGAGACCACGTCCCGAGAAGGAGGAAGAGAGGCGCAACGGACAGGAGTGGAAACCACGTCCTGAGGTTGCAGGTCGGGAGTTACTGCGCTGCATTCGCGGCGGCCATGTGCAAAAGGCTGCGGCGGGCACTCCACTGGGGGGGGGCTAGCAGGGTCAGGCAAAGGGTCGGGAGGTCTGGCTAGAGGCCTAGAGGCAGGAGGGGGGGCCGAAGAGGCCCTAGAAGCAGGACAACTCCCTGGGGCCCTAGGGAAAGACAAAGCACTTTGCCTATGCATGCTGCTGACTGCCATGTCCTCTGAGCCTTGTGCTGCAAAGAATTGACAAATTTTGGGCTGGGGCTCCTCCGGCCACTTCTGTTCCGTGGTGGGTTTCTTTTTGAAGGAGATCACAGAAGGGACTCCCTGGGAGTCCCTAGGTAAAAATTTTGCAACCTCAGGTGGTTTCTTCTTGCGGTTGGGCTCACAGGGGTTCTGGAGGACAAGGGAAAGCTTAGAAAAACCCGGGGTGAGGATGGCATAACACTTAGTGCAAATCCACAGCTTCCCCAGGTTATAGGTCGAGTGGCTGGAGCGCACGCCCAGTGTGTCAGGGATCGGGAAATGCACGTGCGCACACGGGTGACCCTCGATGCGGGCAAACTTCTCCAATGAGTGAGTCTGCTCAATGTAAAGGGAGCAGGTTTCGCAAGTCGCGGCCAAGTTTTTGGCAGATTCGGAGGAAATTTTCCATCGGTGATTGCCCGGCTGGAGGCGAACTAGTTCGAAAATGCGTTGCCTTTTGTTGAGCCCTCCATTAGGCCCAGGCCTGTTTTGAGTCTGGCGAAGGGGAGGCTTGGAAGCCTTCTTCAGGGAGCCTTTGGGAGGTCGGCCCCGCGGCCGGGGCCCATGTCGGTTTGAGGCTCCCAGAAGGGCCTGTCTTCGCTAGTGAGCAAGGTCCACGCCCTGGTCTTAAGGAAGACGTTGATCCCAGGGTGGGATGGAGGCCAGGGCCTCCCGCGCAGCTGTTTTACAGGCCGCGTCTGCTGACTCGTTAATGTCGCGTCTCCACGCCTGACCAGGCCCGAACTCGGCGAGGAACGCCTCCATTTGCGTGTGGGACCTGATCCAGGTGATCTTGGCTAGGTGCTCCCGACCGCGCGCCTGCACCCACGGCCAGCTTTTGGGTGTGGCGAACTGCTGCCTGGCGGCCGCCTGGCAATCAGTGGTGACATCCGCCACTTCCGTTAGGTGGTGACAAACGCGGGCGATGGCGTAGGCTTCGCCTTGAGCCACAGTGGAGCCAGGGGGCAGGATGCCGGTAACCCCACCGACACACACCAGGGCCCCCTGACGCCATTCATGAATGGTGATGGCCCACGCCACAATCCGACCCCGCGGGTCAGACCCATGGGGTCCGCCTGTTGCGTCAGGCCACATGTGAGAAGAGCCCACGCCCCAAGCCCTCTCACTGGCAGGGCCGCTGGTGTAGCCGACTAGGGAGGTCACCGTAGCCGGCATGAGCCCTCTGAGCCAGAGGCACGGGAAAGGAAAGGACTCCTTCTTTTTCTTCCAGTGTTGGTGGGGCGGCGGGGCTCTCCCGGACCACCATTTACAGTCGTATACGACATGCTCGGTGGTGAGGGGAACAGCACACAGGGGGCAAGTGCTGCCATCTTTCAGCTTCCTACACTGGAAAGCCCCTTGCCATACCATTCTGATGGCACCTTTCTTGTGTCTGGGGGTTGCCTTGTCAACTTCCCGCAGCACAGTTGTGTCAAAACCGTCTCGGAGGCTCGCACACCCGCTTTGTTGGGCAATGGCTTCATGGCGCAGTTTGGTACACATCTGCCAAAGAAGGGCGTTGATGGTATGCAAGTGGGAGGGGTCAAGGGGGTTGAGGGCGACGAGGCCTTCTTTGAAGGGGACTCCCGCTAGGCAAGCGGGGCCAGCATTTGCGGGGAAAACCCAGCATGACGGAGAGGGGGCCTCGACGCGAAGCTCTTTGAGGTAACAGATCATGGCTCCGACCGGCCCGCAGACGAGTTTCCACCTGTCCGCTCGTTCCAGTTGAATGCTGAGCTGCTCCCAAGTTTGAAGGAGAAGCCGGTGGTCTGGAAGATTCCCGAAGACCTTCGCAAGAGCTTTGAAGTGCTGAGAAATGATGCTATTTCGGGGGTCTTTGACCAGGTGTCCCCCCAACTCAAGTGCCACTTCGACACTGCCGGTGGTGACACGCCCCACAATTTGAGCTGCTTGGAGGCGGATGGACTTAAAGACCTTCGGGGCGAACCATTGGGACTGGTGACCCCAGAGCCCAGATGCGAAAACTCCCATGCTGAAGAGCCGACTGGTGACTTTGGGCGCCTTAACGTTAAGGGAGCGAAGTTTGAGCAGGCGAACGCTCGCTTTCTTTCTGCGAGTAGCTGACTGTTTGGTCGTTCTTTTGCGACCAGCAGCTGTCTCCATGCCTAAGTCCTTGCCTACTTGCTGCACGGGAGGATCCTGAGGGCTGAGCTTAGCTCGAAGTGCCTTATCGGCCTCTTTACTGCTGGCGAGGAAATACGTTTTACCAACAGAGACAACATGCCCTTCCTTTTCCAACTCCGTGCGGAGGCGACGGTAGGTGTTGACGATAGCAGTGGCCACTCCCCCTGCAGTCCTGTGCTTGGAGTCGACACTAATATCGTCAACCCACGTACCCACGTAATCAACGTGGGGCCCCCGACACGCTCTTTTAACAGGACCTCCAATGGCAAGCTTGGATAGGGTGGGAGCCAGGGGACACCCGGCTATGATCCCGCGTTGGGCGTACGCAACCGGAGAGGTGACCTCATCCGAAATGATGATACGGCCGCTGACATAGCCAAGTGAAGGAGTAATTGAGGAAAGTTGGCTTCCTCTGCGGCGGCGCAGAGCCGCTCGTGCTGGACCCCTTCGTAGAAAGTGCTCAGGTCAATGAACACCGAGCATCGGTGTGTGCCATCAAACTTGGCTGCCTCATAGGAAAAACACCGGCGCAGAGCAACGTCGTGGGTGCTTCGACCTGGGAGGGCGGAGTCCACCATAGCTCATCTTCATACCTATGAAGCCAGTCAGAGATGAGGTGCCAGCGGCATTTGATGCCCAACTTGAGGAAAGTACTCATTAAGCCAATGGGCCGCTCGATGGTCTGCGACTTGGGCAGCATCGTGAAAGCCGTGAAGGTGACCTGGTGGGGCAGGTCCCCTGTTAGCTCAATGGCTCTCCAGACGTCGGCCAATCGGTCGAGTTCACTTCGGGAGAGGGACTTCAGGAGATCGACCGTCCATCCGTCCAAACCCGGAGCCCTGTTAGGGAGGGCCTTGATGACTTTCTTGAAATCCCGCCCGGTCAGGGAGCGACGCCCCTGAGCTTGGTGCGTTGCCCTATGCTTAAGGCCTGCCGGGGGTGCCAGGGGCGACCCTTTGGCTTGCCAGAGGGACGCCCATTGTTTAAGGCGGAGGAACGGTCGAGTTTCCGCTGGGGAGTCACCAAAGGGCCGGGAGAGCACTGTTTCAGGTTTTTTGAGGGCGCGAAACAGTGGCCGCATGCCTTTCTGAGACCCATTGGTGAGCCATTGCATGTAGGACTTGGATTCTTCCTCCTTGGATTCACTGATTGCGCCCATGCACAAACGTTGGAGGGTGTGGAGCCGGCCTGGGGTGAGCGCCGTCTCAGTCCACTCCACCAAGGTGAGGTAAGGAGAGGAAGCCTCAATCCCGCAGTCATTAAACTCCCTTGCCACACGTTCGATCGCAGCGAGCGGGGCCTGATTCAGGAGGTGGATGATCTTGGGAAAGCGGGGTGGTTTGTGCTCCCACGCCTGGAGGAGGCCCTGCCACCAAGCGGCCTCGGCTCCGAACCATGGGCATTTTTTGGGTGGCTGCAAGAGCGGTCGGTACACCGTGGGGTTGTTAGTGCCCCTGCCGCCGGCCGCCCCGTAGTGGCAATCCGCCATCTGTTGGGTGAAAGCAGCGAACTCGAGAGTCGCGCTATCATCATGCAGAGGCGTGCTGCCAATGTGTCCCAGCGTGACCGGGCGCGCCTCCACATCCAAAGCTTCAGTCAGTATCTGACCGGTGAAGCCCTGCAATTGGGGAAAGGGCAGGGCGCCTGCTGGGACATCCAAGACAAACCGCACAGCAGCATGAGGCCGGAACGGAACCGCCCAGTCGAGGCTGGGTGTAAGCAAGGAGCACAAGCTCCTGGATGCGACCGCGTAGTCGAGCTCATTTCCCGTGTCAATGGTGGGTTGGCCCGAGGAAACAATGGCGCCCCCAATTTGGCTGCATAGGGTTGTGGAAGCTAAGTCCTCAGCTGGAAAGTTCCAGTCACCCAGGATGAGCCAGTTGTTGAAGGGGCGAAGATGGGGAAATAGGTACCCCAAGATGGGGTTAGGGTCAGCAGTGATGCCGATCCCACTCTTGAAGTAGATGCTGACGCCTAGAAGGGTCCAATCAACGAATCGAAACTCAACTCCAACAAAGCCACATCCCTCTTCATCAATATAACCCGCGACCTTTCGTCCTAGGAGATGGGCAGGCGCCATCAGGGCTACCCCCCCCCTTGGTGGGTTGGGGCAAGTCGCCCGGGTCAGGCAAGAAGAGGTGAAAGCCGAGCTTGTGGGCATCGATGCGGAGCAGCTTAAGGGCCGGTTCGTTAAGGTGAAGTTCCTGCACAGCGAGGACCCCTCCACAGTCAACGCACCACGTTAGGGTCTCCCTTCTCCAGCTAGTGACATTGGCAGTGCACAATTTTAAGGGAGAGGGTTGGTCATGGGGCGCACAGAGCGCTGCAACGTCCCGCGCGAACGCCCGGATCAAGGGCACGTCAAGCCATGACGACCCGCTGACGCTGTCGAGCGAGTCCCACCCCAGCCTGTAGGGGAGGGAATCCTCACCCTGTGCCTCCACAGATTCAGCAAAGTCCAGGACCGAGGCCTCAATTCACTAATTTAGCCACGGCCCGCCGGAGGGGTGGGGAAACAGGCGGGCTTGCATCGGCGGGGTCTCGGAAATTTGGGCACAGGACCAGACGCAGGGCACTCCCATGACTCCCAAAAATCGGCGTTAGACTTCTTTTCATCTTCGCGTCGTCGTTCAGCTCGTCGCCGCTTAGTGGCAAGAAAGAGCCAGGGCTTAGGGTTACGGACACGAAGGTTGGCAGGGCCTTCGGGAGTGGGCGCCACTTCCCGAGAACCAGACGAGGGGTGCCCAGTATTGGGCCAAGAAGGAGCGGAGCCCGCATCCTGACTAGAGGCGGGCAGATTGGATGTTTCGCAAAAGGCAGAGGTGAAGTACCTAGAGCCAGAAACCAGGCTGTCTGCCGACGGTTTGGCCCCTTGGTAACGGGCTCGTGAGGGCTTCAAAGGGTGCGCCGCAGCTGGCTCCCAACGCAGCTTCGGGTCCAGCAACGACAGTTCGTCACACTGGACGCAGTACTGTACGCACAAGTACAATTGGGCGCAGGTCTTGGCGCACTGAGGGCAAGGGCCTCCATCTCTAGCCGGCCCTGGAGTGGGGAAACCACATCCACTCACTGCAACGGCTGGGAGGCGTATTCCCGACTCGCCGCCCACAGGGGAACGGCTGCGCTGTCTGTCGCCTGTCTCAGCAGGTACATTGCCGGCAGGTGGCTTGGCCTTGGGACCATCGGCAGTATCAGAGGCCTGCGAGGTGGGCTGAAGGCCTAGGTGAAACACCCGGCAGCCCAGGTGGGCTTTCCACGGTCTCTTGGTTGCTTTGATCTCGCTCAGCTTAGCAACCTGCTCCTCCGTGAGAGTAACACCCAACTGGGACATGATGGAATCAATGTCCATCGGGTCGGCCGTCGTCTCAGTCGGGATAGGCGTGGCAGCCACAGCCTGGGCCAAAGCCTCCTTGGCAGCGACAACGGCTTGCTCAGCCTGCTCAATCTTGGACGTGGTCTCTTGCATCTCAAGGAGCTGCATGCGAAGGGATTCCTTCGTCTCGTCTATGGTCCCTTGGAGGTGAATCTGACGGTTGGACTGCTGGGCCTTCTCAGCCATCGTGGGCTCAGGGGCCTGCGTGGCTTCCTCCAGGGCGGTCTGGACCTCATCCGGCAGCTGGGCTTTGTGGTGCTTCAGGAGCAGCAAGAGTGGGTCCATGGGGTCTTCAGCTTCCTTCGGCTTCGCCGTGGGCCCTTTCCATCCCGCTTTCTGCAGCTTAGCCTGCGCTTCCGGCGGGATCTGGTCCCAAACTGTCCCTACTGCACGCTTGAGCTTTCGGTCTTCCTCCTTCTTGGCCTTGTTGGGGCCAGGCGGCGTCTTGGGTTGAGCAGCGGCTGGCGGCTGCGAGGGCCGGCGAGGTGGGGACTTGGGATCGGGAGAGGACGGCCCTTGTGGCCACCTCCTCCCACAAAAGCAGTGGGTCCTACCGGGCTTGACCTGGCTGGCCCACACCCAGGCCCCACACTTGCACACGTGGTACGCGCGGGTTTGCGCCATTGCGCAAGCTGGAGGGCTGAAAGCAGAGCTAGGCTACGGGGGGAAAAGGTGCCTCTGGAAATAGAGGAGGCACCTCTGCACAAGCAACGGCTCAAGGCAAGGAGTGGTCGACCACTTACAAACTTTACACAAACTGGTCCTAGTCGGAGGGCCCACCCTTCCGGCTGCAGTTTAACGTGAGTGAGGAGTGGTAAGCCACGTCCTTGCGGGCGCGGTCTATGGCGAGAAAGCTAAAAGCTGGGATTAAGAGGTGGACTCGGGCCTGTTGTCACACAAAGTTGTACCCCAAACCCAGTTCACAGCAAAACCTCGCACCGGTGCGTTCCACAAAAAATGGAACCTGAGCCGAAACTTGAGCCAAAGGAGAATTTTTCTTCAGCAAGCGCGAAAGCGTTACCCAGTGGGCGTCCATCATGCAAATGAATTCACCCGGAGCCCCTAAGGGGCGAGACATAGTCTCTCGGGCTGGTCGGCCAACCTGCTACGGCAAACCTCAGCTCAAGGCTGGCAGTGTGGTGCACCCACTACTACCTACAGGCGCCTATGACACAGTTAAGAGGCTCTGACCGCTAGTAGAACAGGTCAGATGGAGGACTGTGGCTTTCACTCGTCCGAGTCGCCAGCTGTACAAAGCACTTCGCTTTTCCTACTCCTCTCATCGTACTGACCATAGCCCAAGCAAAAGACCTGCTCCCAGCAGCTAGTCTGTGTCCATGAAGGAATTCTCGAAACCGCAGCCCCGAGGCTGGGGCATAACAGCACCCGCACAGGAGCACAAGCGACTGTCATGCACTGATGCCTCAGCCTTTAGGCCTGGGCTGACACAGCCAACGAACTTCCTAGCCTCACGCCCAAACAGCCAAAGGGGGTCCTCTACCTCACCTTACACAAAGCAGCAGCCCCTCAATTTGGTACCTTTAGCGCGGGGCCCACGCACTCCCCTCAACCAGGCGCAGGGAGCGACGCTTTCCCTTCAACTTCCTACGTGCAGGCGCAGGGAACAACGCCCTGCTAAACTTTCTGCAAGAAATCATTTCGAAACCCCGAACTGCTCCCAGGGACCTGCTGACTGGTCACTGGGAAAGGGCCTAAACGACCAAATGGACCCACGCAGTAAAGGGACCTTCCCAGGCTGCCGCAAGCAAGGGAAGGGAACCCACTGCCCCTGTAAAACCCCAGACTGTTTCAAGGGAAGGGCCAAATCAGGACTCTGGCCCCACGGAACGCCGACCCGTATGATCTTTGGTGCCAGCGGGCCAACTTTTTCTCAAGGTGCGAAAAGGGAATTTGGGGCAGAAAACCTCGGCAAAAGCCTATGCCAGCAACAGCATGTTGCATTTTTGGCCTCTGCGCTACACCCTAAACCCCAAAAGAGAAAACACCGGAACAAAAAGGACAGAACCCGGACAACATGCCAAAAGGCTCATCACCCTTGTAGTCTCGCACAGCGAAGAAGAAGGAGTGACAATTGGCCTGCACCTCGTGAGCCTTCAATTATATGCCCAGTGAGGAGACGAGATACAGGTCCTGAGCCTGCCTGGAAAGCCCCATGGTGCGCTGATCCCATACCTGGTGGTAGGGCGAAGGCAGGCAGTCCAGGCAAGGAGGGAAAGTGACTCAGCCGGCTGCATCCACCGTCAGCGAGCAGACAGCACTGCCAAGTACCTACCCTAAAACCAGCCCTAAACCCAGGGCACCAGCGGCAGGAGCAGTCACAAGGTCTGAGGAAAGGACTACTCTCTGCCGCCGGCGGATAGGCCTGCAGGGAAGCCCCAGACAACCCTGCAGAGGGCCAAAAACTTTTGCCTCATCTCAACACGAGGCCATTACCAAACGCATCCTAACCGAAAGGCTTAACGTCCTCCGCACATGGGCAACTGGCCGAGAACGAAACGCGCTGCAACCATCTAATTAAGGCGAAAATCCAAAGGCGAGCAAGGAACCACAAGCTCCCTCTGTGCCAGACACTCTGCTGGCACTTGCTTGGGGGCATCTGCATGGTTAGGGGAAAAAAGCCAGCCTCAACACAATTTGCGAGGCCCGGGTTTAGGATGCACCGCAACCCCCATGGTCCCTGCAGAGACTAATGGAAGGGACCAGGGCCAACAAGCCTCACAAGGAACCCCAAATCACTGAAGCGAAGACCATGAGAGCCCAGGCTGGCCGACCTCACGACACCACACGAGGGTAGGCCAGCCTGTGAGGAGTGCTTGCCAGATTTCGGCCGATACCTCAAACTGCCAGCTAGGCCCTGAGAAGGCCACTTCTGATGTGCAAACCACAGCCTCAAGGGCGGGGTAGTTACACCACAGCCTAGAGGCGGGGACAGATGGGGTCTGGATAGAAGTGGCACAACAGAGTACAGGACAAACCTTCCTGCAAAGGTGCTTTTAAGCGGCAACTGTTGTATGACCAATCTGATCGGCGCGGTTAGTCACAACTCAGCCCGTTCGCCTTCAGGAGAGCTGCTTCCGCACGATAGACCAGCCAAAACTAGGTGAAAGTTGCACAGCAATTCAAGCAAGACAAGTAAAATCAAGTAAACAGGGCACCACTATGGCAAACTAAGGCTGGCGGCCACGACAGCACTGAAGGCCTGAGCACTACGCCTCCTAGCTGGAGGGGAAGTGATGCCCACCTCCCACCTGGAGGGGATGTGGTGCCCACCTCCCAGCTGGAGGGGTTTGCCCAGTAGCTCAAGGAAGGGTGCAATGCAGAACCACAGCCCCACGGCCGGGTAAAAGCTCTGACACGATATGGCTCGGGCGAATAGGCCAAAAACAAGGGGGTCCAGTACCTTAACTCAGTTGAGGCCCGAAACCCAGGTTCACAGCTACTCGCTCAGCTACTGTGTGCACCCCACCGGGGTTGAGCCGAAACCTTGAGCCAGGAGAATTTTTCTTCAGCAAGCGCGAAAGCGTTACCCAGTGGGCGTCCATGCAAATGAATTCACCCGGAGCCCCTAAGGGGCGAGACATAGTCCCTCGGGCTGGTCGGCCAACCTGCTACGGCAAAACCTCAGCTCAAGGCTGGGAATGTGGTGCACCCACTTACTACCTACAGGCGCCATGACACAGTTTAGAGGCTCTGACCGCTAGTAGAACAGGTCAGATGGAGGACTGTGGCTTTCACTCGTCCGAGTCGCCAGCTGTACAAAGCACTTCGCTTTTCCTACTCCTCTCATCGTACTGACCATAGCCCAAGCAAAAGACCTGCTCCCAGCTAGTCTGTGTCCATCACATCAGAGGAAGGAATTCTCGAAACCGCAGCCCCGAGGCTGGGAATCCATGGCATAACAGCACCCGCACAGGAGCACAAGCGACTGTCATGCACTGATTCCACAGCCTATAGGCCCGGTTGAACACAGCCAACGAACTTACAAGCCTCACGCCCAAACAACCCAAGGGGGTCCTCTATCTCACCGTGCACAAAGCAGCAGCCGCTCAATTTGGTACCTTTAGCGCGGGGCCCACGCACTCCCCTCAACCAGGCGCAGGGAGCGACGCTTTCCCTTCAACTAACTACGTGCAGGCGCAGGGAACAACGCCCTGCTAGACTTTCTGCAAGAAAGATTTCGAAACCCCGAAGACTGCTCCCAGGGACCTGCTGACTGCTCCCTGGGAAAGGGCCAAAACGAACCAAATGGACCCACACAGTAAAGGGACCTTCCCTGGCTGCTGCAAGCAAGGGAAGGGAACCCACTGCCCCTGTAAAACCCCAGACTGTTTCAAGGGAAGGGCCAAATCAGGACTCTGGGCCCCACGGAACGCCGACCCGTATGATCTTTGGTGCCAGCGGGCCAACTTTTTCTGAAAGTGCTAAAAAGGGGATTTGGGGCAGAAAACCTCGGCAAAAGCCTATGCCAGCAACAGCATGTTGCATTTTTTGCCTCTGCGCTACACCCTAAACCCCAAAAGAGAAAACACCGGATCAAAAGGGACAGAATCCGGACAACAAGCCAAAAAAAGCTCATCACCCTTGCAATCTCGCACAGCGAAGAAGAAGGAGTGACTATTGGCCTGCACCTCGCGAGCCTGCAATTAATGCCCAGTGAGGAGACGAGATACAGGTCCTGAGCTGCCTGGAAAGCCCCATGGTGCGCTTATCCCATACCTGGTGGTAGGGCGAAGGCAGGCAGTCCATGCAAGGAGGGAAAGTGACTCAGCCGGCTGCATCCACCGTCAGCTAGCAGGCAGCACTGCCAAGTACCTACCCTAGAACCAGCCCTAAACCCAGGGCACCAGCGGCAGGAGCAGTCACAAGGTCTGCGAAAAGGACTACTCTCTGCCGCCGGCGCGTAGGCCTGCAGGGAAGCCCCAGACAACCCTACAGAGGGCCTAAAGCCACTGCCCCATCTCAAAGTGAGGCCATTACCAAACGCATCCTAACCAAAAGGCTTAACGTCCTCCGCACATGGGCAACTGGCCGAGAACGAAACGCGCTGCAACCATCTAATTAAGGCGAAAATCCAATGGCGAGCAAGGAACCACACAGCTCCCTCTGTGCCGGACACTCTGCTGGCACTTGCTTGGGTGCATCTGCATGGTTAGGGGAAAAAGCCAGCCTCAACACAATATGCGAGGCCCGGGTATAGGATGCATCACAACCCCCATTGTCCCTTCAGAGACTATTGGATGGGACCAGGGCCAACAAGCCTCGCAAGGAACCCCAAATCACTGAAGCGAAGACCATGAGAGCCCAGGCTGGGCCGACCTCACGACACCACACGTGGATAGGCCTGCCTGTGAGGAGTGCTATGCCAGATTTCCGCCGATACCTCAAACTACCAGCGAGGCCCTGAGAAGGCCACTTCTGATGTGCAAACCACAGCCAGGAGAATTTTTCTTCAGCAAGCGCGAGAGCGTTACCCAGTGGGTGTCCTTCATGCAAACGAATTCGCCCGGAGCCCCTTTGGGGCGAGACATAGTCTCTCGGGCAGTCGGTCACCCTGCTACGGCAAAACCACAGCTCACAAGCTGGGAATGTGGTGCACCCACAGGCCATCTACAGGGAACTATGTTACAGCTACTCATCAGGAAGAAGTTGCGACCGCAGCCCAAAGGCTGGGAAAGGATGCCCCCTTGTTTCCACAGCCTCCTAGGCCGGGGTGGTGCACAGCCAGCGAACTTCTTCCCCCAAAGGTCCAAGGGTGTTGCAGATCTGGTCAAAACACGCTTGAGGTGGACCCCTGGAAACTTGCCGAAAGTAGCCCACATCATTAGGGCAGTATTTGGCAACTACCCTCCAAAAGCCAGTCCATTCCGGCCTCCCTTGGGAGGGGCCCCAGTTGTTGGCATCGATGAAGGCCGGAAGGGGAACCATCCTCGTGCCCAGCGGCCTGTGGCACAGGTTTGAAATGCCAACATCCTTGGCATCAACCCCACAGGCATACAAGTGCAACAAGGTGGCCAACGTGGCCAGAAGGTAGGAGTGAACACGGAGACCATTGGCAGCATTTTCCTGGAGCCACTCACGGGCCTGGCAGCGATGCTCTTGCACGTGGTACAGGAAACGATGCAGGCCCGCACCTGGCTCACCTGCAAGTCCTAGTCCAATCCACATGGAGCCACTGGTGAGGATGGGAGCCATGAGCCGGGGAAAACGCCGCGCCACATCGATCTCCGGACCGTTTAAGGATGCATCATCCGTGAGCTTCAAGACCAACGCCTGAGACAGCTGGTAGCCTACACGGCTTTGTCCCCAGCCCAGGCGCGTGAGAACTCGGGCTTCCACCACAACCTGCCGAATCGGGTCCCACGTAAGTGTGAGCTCTGGAGGGAGGAAGTGCCGAGGCGAGGTGGGCCGCTTGATGTAGCTAGCTGCTTCACCAGCCGCGTGCACACCCGGACTAAAGTCCTGAGCTTCTCTACGCATGCGTTGCCGCCGGCCCCAGGGGGACTCCTCAGCCTCAGGGGCCGGGTGTGCAGGGGGCCGGGCCCTGGACTCTGAGGGGGAACGAGGCCGTGCATGCTGGTTGGGAAGGTCACGGCTGGACCTAGCCTCCTCTGACCGCCTCCCAGGTGGAGGGGAACGGGTTGAATCACGCGGAACCGAACGCAAATCCACACCGGACCCTGCTACCTGAGGTCCTCCTTCGCGGAGGGGTGGGAGGGGTAGGGCTTCTGTCCACTGAGCGCAAGACCAAACGAGGGGAAGGAGAGCGCCGACGGTCACGCCGAGGAGCCGGAGGGGGCGGGGGGGCGGCCATGCCTTCGCCGCCGGCTGGGCCGAAGAGCTGGAACCCCCAGGAGCCGCCTCCTCAGGGAGGGGTGCCCCTTCCTGCTGGTCATCACCCACAGGAAGGCCCTGGTCTATGCGCTGTTGCCTGCGGATGTGGGGCGGGGGTCGTCGCTTGGAATGCTGGAGGGTCGCCGTAGAGCGCCACGACTTCCCCTCTGCCATTCGTTGGCGCTGCTCGCGCCAAAAGGGGCCACGACCCCTGCCCTGTGAGCCCCCCATCACTGCTTCTTGAAGCAAAGGGTCTGCTGACCGGAGGGAAGCTCTTTCTTCTTTTTGGCACGGCTGGCCGGCTTCGGGGCAGGCTCCTTTGCAAGCCCGGCTTCGCGTGCACTTGCCCCAGGAAGGGAAACCGCTTCCTTTGTTTTGCCAGGCCCCACCTCAGACACGTGCGACGCTGCAGCCTTAGGAAGGGAAGCCGCTTCCTTTAGCGCTGAAGAAGAACCTGGAGAGTCCGGCCGCCCAGGAGGCGTGGAAACCGAGGCCTGGGCATGAAAGGACAGGGTTTGGTTATTGTGGAGTTTTTTACAGGGTTTCTGGAGACCTAAACAAGGCTGAGAATGGCCTGGAAGGAGGGTAAGATGGCACCCGGAGCACAGCCATCTACGTCCTTCATTTTTGAGCCGGTGCGTCGGGTGGAGGGTAGGCCAGAACTGGGGACCATTATGGGGCATGTCAATGCACGGCTGCGCAAGCAAACGTTCTAGCCTATCCATCTCATGAACCTGCTGGAGGTAAAGCTTACACTTCACACAAGTGATTGCCAAATTGTTTGTTTTCAACCCCCCTACTTGCCAGACATGACCACCTACTGCTTCCGGGACATCCACTTTCGCCAACAAAAGCTGGCGCTTATTAGGCCCTTTGGGTGGTTGGGGTTCCTCCCTTTGGCTTCGGGGGACAAAATCATCTTTTGAGGCATGTTTCAAAACAACCACAGCTCGCGACGCCAGGTAATCGCAGATCCTGGTTACGAGCCTATCCAGGTCCTGGACTTTCCGCCCTGCTACAGGCGATATGGTGGCAGCTCGTTTGCCTGCCAACTCGTCAGCGCACTGGTTGGCCTGGTGTCTCCAAAGCTGGGAAAAGCCAAACCGAATTTCGAACTCACGGCTAGTTAGGTGGGATTTTACCCAAGTGGGCCTTATCCTACCACGGTCCTCCCAGACCGGGCCCCAAAAAGCCGGGGTTGTTTTTTGAAAGGATTTTTTGGTGAGGGTCCTTAGGGCTGGTTTACAGTCCCCCGTAAGGTCAACCTGACCAAGGGTGTGTTTGATCGTCTGCACAATGGCATAAGATTCACCGTGCGCGACGCTTGTTCCGGGGGGGGTGAGGCCGGACATGGTTCCTAACTCCTGAAACTGACCATCTTGAACCCGCCCCACGACTACAGACCAGCTCACCCTTCGCAATCGCGGATCCTTGGTGAACATGCCCCCTGACGCGTCCGTAGCAACCACCAACCCGTCTGCTACTACCTGGGAGGACGTGAGAAACACGCCTGTCTTGACCACCTCTAGGTCCCCCGAGGGAGCGACTGGGAGGTATTTAAGGGGAAGCATACCCCGAAGCCACAGGCAGTCATCAGGGAAACGGCGCTTCTCCGCCAGAACGTACCCCGGTAACCGCATGCCACCAGGGAAGGAAGGGCACTCATACATGAGGTGGCGCAAGGTGGCTCCGGAATCGCCACAAAACTTACAGACATCCTTGCCACCATTGCCGTTATGGAGAATGGACCCTTGGAAAACAGCCCGATAGGCGTACCGGGTTGTTTTGGTGCGCACTGACTTGAGCAGGCGACGCGGGACCGTCCAGTCGACCCCGCCACCAGCACCCGCTGCCGACGAGGCCGATCCCATGCGACGAGACCTCTGGGTCTTGATGATGTCCGTGAGGAAAGACGAGGTTTGGCAGGCAACCGAAACCTCAGAAGGCTTGATTTCCAGAACACGCTCCTCAAAAACCCAGCGGGAAGGATCGTGGCCGTCGACCTGGAGGTCGCGGAGGTATTGACACATGGCTGAGATGGGTCCAGTGACCACGGACCAACCGTGTTTCGCAGCCTCCAGCCGCTTCCAGACCACTCGCCAAGTGTCCTTTACTGCCTCCCATCCCATGCGGTTACATCTGGCCATCATCCTGAAAAGACTTTCCACGTGCTGGGTTACCACAATAAGGTAGGGATCCTGAACCTCGTGGGCCGTCATATCTAGGATGGTATCCGTTGAACCGTATCGGCTCCTGCCTGCGTGTCGGGCTACCGCTGCGCGCATGGTTTTCATATGTTTAGGGGCAACCCCTTGTGCTTCATGGCCATAAAGACCTGAGGTGACCACACTAGAACGGTGCAACCGTAGCCGGACGCGGCGTGACGGGATACGAAGCTTACCCAACTTCAGGTTACGAAGGCTACCTACCCGGAAGCGTTTCTGGGCAGTAGTAGTCCTGCGCCGGCGGCCACTGCCACTGTCAAGGCCATCCTTGACCACGTCGACTATGTCAGGGTCCCCTGGCCGCAGCAGCTGTCGCAGCGCCGCGGCCGAGCGGGGTGTTCCGGCCACAAATTTTGTTTTCTCTTGGCTGAGGACGAGACCTTCCGCCTGAAGACTGGCCTTGAGCACTCGAAAGGCTTCATAAGCCGCTCCCGCGGCTATATCCGGCGAGGCATGGAGGGAGTCTGCGGAGACATCGTCCAACCATACGTCGCAATGGTGCAAGCCTGTGACTCGTTTCAGTCTATGTAAGGGTTCGGACATGGTGAGCTTGGCCAAGGTGGGAGCGTACGGGCATCCCTGGATCATGCCCCGGCCTGGGAAGATGGTGGGACTGGGCTGGGATTCCCCCACCACCGTGCGACCTCCTTGGTAGAGGCGAAGGGAGAGGCACAGGGCCAAGGCTGGGAAAGACAACCGCAAGCCTTGTTCGCAAAGCCTCTGCCAAGAGACGCTATCGTAAAACCCATTAATGTCAACAAACAACGAGACAGTGTGCAAACCCTTGACTCTGGCAGACTCTTTGGAGCATTTCCTGGCCAGGGCAACGTCCAACGAGGTTCGGCCTGGAATCGCCGAGTCAAAAGGATGATCCGGGATGTATCCAGCCACTGGCTGACCAAGAACCGCCGAGTCTTACACCAAAGCCGCCACAGGACCGATGTAAGACCGATAGGTCTTTCCTTCAAGGCACTCTTGGCCAGAAGAACAATCTGGACCTGGGAAACTTGGAGGGGAATGGCAAGGTCCTCCTCCATTTTGTTGAAGACGTTGGCTAGGACTGCATACGCGTCCCGAGGCAGGTCTCGAAGATCATTGAAATCCCAGCCGTCCGGGCCTCCTTTTTTGGGATTCCTGGCGGCGCATATCTTAGCGACAGAGCTAGCAGAATGCTTGGGCAGGGAACGGACCTGCTCCCGGGCTAAGTCAAACAAGGCATCCCATACTTCCCCTTGGAGCGGAGCTGGCGACACCAGGTTACCCTGCCAGACCTCGCACCAAAATTCGAGCCGTTTATAGGGCCGCGCCAGGGGAGTGAACTCACGATACGGCCGTTCCAAGGTTTGCTCATCAGCTCGAAGGGAGCGGTAAAGGGGGCGGAGGTGATCATTTTGCGCCTCTTCTAGCCACTTGGAGTAAGACTCGGAGTTCTGGGAGGTCTGGGAGGCTCAAGCTTCCTTATATTTTGTCTCAACCTGGGGCACCAACTCCCGAGTGAGGCTGCTGCGGTCATCAGCATGAACCCAGTCCTTGAGGACGGGAAGAAGGGGGTCGTCCGGAGGAATGGAGGCGAAGGCCTCTGAGGACTTGGTCCCGTCTGAAGCCAGGTGCGCCATCTATCCCAGATAGCCATAGGCCCTCGGCCCTCCTGTCCAGGCACCTCCGCCAACTGGGTGCGAGGCCAACGGCCTGCGGGGAAGGTCGACCCACCAGCCCTTTCCTGTGGTGGCCTGGGCCTCCGACTGAGGAGAATTTTTCACACCCCCCCATGCACAGATGGTCCTGGTGTAGTCTCCCTCAGTCCTTTCTTTCATCCTGCTTCAGAATCTTCTTCCCAATCCTGACAAGAGCCTTTCCAAGCTCTTCTGGGTAAGTGCCAGACTCCTTCAGAGACACACTTTTCGAATGTTCGTGGTTTCCTACACATACGTAAGAGGAAAGCTCCCAAACGCAAGCAGCGCTATTCGAAGCGAACCACCATCTCTTCCAGGTCTTCTCCTTCTTTTCGAAACAGCACCTATCCACTATACACCCGTGCGTCAGGTTCAGATTCTTAGAGACTTCCTTAAACACTGTCTCCTTCCACAGAGAGGACTTTTCGGGCCACTCGTGGGTTGACAGCAAACCCTCATTCGAGGTATAGGGGCTAAAGAGCTTCCCTAACAGTCTCCAGCACTTCGTGTGCACCTTCAGCGTCTTACGCCAAAGTTCCAAACCTCGTTGTTTGCGGAACTGCAGATATCTCAGCGGACACCCAGTGCTACAGAGCGCGGACACATGCGCAAACACACGGACCTTTCCCAGGTTCAGGACACGCAGGATTTCTTCGAGGACTAAAACGGTGTTTTTACTCAGAAGATTGATATTTCGAGTCACTCCAAAGTACGCTACACCTTTCTCGCGCGCACACGATTTGGCTATAGCGCTCGACTCTTCGCAGCAAAGCTCCAGAACGACGAGCGACACTGTTCCTTTAGCCAACGCCGTCGCGGCTTCCATCCAGGAGCTCGGAACCTCCAGCGGAGAGGACCTTACTGCATTCGCGGATACTTCCTTAGTGATATTGGGCTCATCTCTTACTTCTTCAACGTTTTCTTCGGAAATCGACGACCACGATTCTGGCTCGCTAATGAGGCCGCTTGCCTCGCAAAGGCTGAGCAAGTTCTCCGCAGTTGGGGATTTAGTTAGAGCATCTGCGGGGTTGAGTTCTCTAGCGTCAATCTTTCCCTGGCGACTAGTTGTTGGAGAAAAGCCGCTCTCAACTCTATGTGGCGGACTTTCCTAAGGAGGGTGCTCATTTGCGCTATTGACAGGGCGCTTTCAGAGTCCCCGTACGCGCGCAACTGACATCGGCCTTCCTCCGCGTCGGAAGGCATCCCCTCCACCATCGTCTGCACCAACAGAGATATATACAATCCCTCTCTTGCGATTTTCAGTCAGCGCTGCTAGCTCGGCCTCTGCCGATGAAAGAGCCACGGTCGTCTGTTTCCTACTGAACGTCTTCAAGCAACAATTGTTCCAGGTCACAATTCCACCACTCACAGAGTTCAAACCCCAAGACGCGTCAACAAAACACGACACTGACTCTAGGTCATCATCAGGGGCCAACAGCTCTCTACGTGAGGGGAACACTTGGACCTTATGCGGTAAACCAGACACCCACCTCAGAACATCCGCGTCCTAGAAAGCCGCATACGTATTGCAATCGGGCCTTGAAAGCGACGCCCAGGCTAGGCGTCCTAATGTACGTCGAAAGCGCTCGTGCGCCTCTGGCGTAAGAGGTGTGTCCTGTCCTTTCTTGATGAGGTCGGCATACAGCCGCTCTAATGGTGGAAGCTTCGGCGCCACCTTCGTGATTCCGTACTCCTCACAGCAAGACCTCAAATACTTAGCCCAAGCCAAAGTATACGCAGGGCTCTCCGGGCTTCCTCCGGAAGATCCTACGTCCCAAGAAAGACACCTCACCTGGTTTTCCTTCCACGAGTTCACCTGTTAGCTTAAGCTTGTAGCGCTTCTTCAGGTCTTCATACACCTTTCGAGCTTCGGCGGTGTTCTCGGCCCAAATCAACAAATCATCAACATAAGAAGAGGACAATCACCAAACCATTCTTGGTTTTCTTGCGGAAGATTGTCGGGTCCAAGATCTGTTGGAATCCTTGGTTCCCAAGGTACGCCGACAGCTCCTTATACCAAGAAAGCGGGGCGCTTCGAAGCCCATTCATGGCACGAAACAGTTTCAAGAAGACCCTTTCGCCGGTCTTTGCGTTTCCTATGTTACTCGGAAGCTGCACAAACTCCGGCCGCGCAATAGCGGCGTGCATGAACGCTACCGAAACGTCACAGGACAGCACAGACCCTTTTCTACACAGAACGGAAAGTAGGAGCCGCAGCCCTTCCAGGCTGGTGGTAGGAGAATAGATCCCCTCAGCGAGCGTCGTGCCGCCCATAGCGGCAAAATCGCGGACAACAAGTCTAGAGCGATAAAGACCAGGCTTCTTAACCGTATTGACAAGAACTCTTCTTCCGCTCTCCTTAGCAAGTCGATACGCTTCTCGCTCGCTCACCACTTCTCCAACGTTGAACGACTCCAATTCTTCTAGTTCTAATTTCATGGACAGATAGAGGAGTTTGGGATCTAACAGCTCACCAGAGGTCTCTGAAACAGCTTGCTGGGGGACCTGACAACAGATTCTACTCCCTCCAAACTTAAGCTCAAAGGAAGACGCCGCTTGATTGCTCACGGCGCGGCAGTCAGGTCCTTCGCCTAGCTTCTGAAGATAATGATCCGTCAACCAATCAATCTGCATGTCCTCCAGGTCAGGTTCAGGAAGATCGCCACCGGCTACCCCCTCATGACCCTCAGATCCCACTTTTGTGGGCTCGTAATCCGGGACATCATCAAGAAGCATTTCTTCATCCTCTGGGGCTTCAATTCTTCTTCTTTCGGAACAATGGATTCTGGAGGCGGCTCAAACAGCAACGGCTTTTCGGGGTCCTGCGGGTCAAGCACAAGAGGGTTGGAGCTAGCTAGCAGTTCCAGTGTGGGGCTGTCGTACGTTGGTTCATCCCGTTCAAAGATGCCACGACACGCCGGAAAGATATCTATCTCTCCATCTCCCCCGATGACGGTCCCATAAACACCTCCACCTCTCGGGTGGACGGGGCCCAGATAGCTCACTCGAACCGTCGTTGCTCCCCGGAACTTTTCTAGATGTCGCTTAGAACCGCCAACTTTGGCCTGAACCGAACAGCCGAATGGAAGCGTCCGAGTCCTTTGGACTATTTCCTCGTGCAACCTGTCTATTGCGGTGGTGCTGTTGTGGCTGTCAAAGTTCCACATTCACTTCCCTTTATCTCTTCACTCTGTTCTCTATTCATGCGTCGTGTTCGCTGGCTCACTTACTCCTTATAATAGAGAACGTGAAGAAAACATGTGAAGTGAATTACAAACGAATGCAATGAGTGCGTGAATTAACTGAACATGTGAACGAAACCCACAGTTGATGATTCATAGACTTGGAAATGAAGGTGAAAGGAATGAACTAAAAAGGCCCTTTCATTTTTCCCTTCTGGCCTTTTTAAGTGAATATGACCTCGGGATCTATGTACCTGAAAGGCATGGCTTCGCAACGGAATCCTTTCTTCAATCTCCTCTCCTTGTGGAACTGGGGCTTCAGGAGGTTGTTCAGGGTTTCGTGGGGGACGATTCGGCTGGTTAGACGAAGACGACGGTTCACCATCATCACGGTCCAGGATTAAGGGATCAGAGCCTATGCCAGATGCCCAGTCACTGGCTGCTTTAAGCCTCCTTCCGGCACTCTCTCATCATCTCCCTTCAACACAAAGCATGCCACATCAAAACAACATGCCAAAACATGCCACACATGCCGCAAACAAGCCAACAACTTTAAGGTTTTGGGCTTTCCCTTAGTTGGGGCTTTCGGGCTTTTCCTACCAACCAACAAGATTCGTTCTACGCACACACGCTTAAAGCATTTTCGGGCGCGAATACGAATCCAACATCCTCCTTGTCGGGGCTTAATCCTCCTCATCTTAGGGGTTCTCTTGGAGTCTCTCTGAAACAGCTTTTCGAGCAATTTCCAAAGACCCGAAATAACGACCCCAACCAAGGCACTGAAGATCAGGATGAGGAACACCATCGCGGACTCAACGACCACTCCTATGAATTTAACCGGGAACGAGCACGTACCTGGACGCGCCGTCGGAAGTTTGAGAGGTCTTTTCCCTGCTGGCCGTCCTGTGGAGGGTTTAGGCAGCAGTGAAAGGGGCCTAAGCCTTTCTCCGGAGGGTTTGGGCAGCAGTGAGAGGGGCCTACTCCCTGCTGGCTTTTTTCCGGAGGGTTTAGGCAGCAGTGAGAGAGGCCTAATCCTTGCTGGCTTTTCTCCGGAGGGTTTAGGCAGGAGTGAGAGAGGCCTAATCCCTGCTGGCCTTTCTCCGGAGGGTTTAGGCAGCAGTGAGAAGGGCCTAATCCTTGCTGGCCTTTCTCCGGAGGGTTTAGGCAGGAGTGAGAGAGGCCTAATCCCTGCTGGCCTTTCTCCGGAGGGTTTAGGCAGCAGTGAGAGGGGCCTAATCCCTGCTGGCCTTTCTCCGGAGGGTTTAGCCAGCAGTGAGAGGGGCCTAATCCCTGCTGGCCTTTCTCCGGAGGGTTTAGGCAGGAGTGAGAGAGGCCTAATCCCTGCTGGCCTTTCGGAGGGTTTAGGCAGGAGTGAGAGAGGCCTAATCCCTGCTGGCCTTTCTCCGGAGGGTTTAGGAAGGAGTGAGAGAAGCCTAATCCCTGCTGGCCTTTCTCCGGAGGGTTTAGGCAGCAGTGAGAAGGGCCTAATCCCTGCTGTCCTCTCTCCGGACGCCTTAGGAAGGAGTGAGAGAGGCCTAATCCCTGCTGGCCTTTCTCCGGAGGGTTTAGGCAGCAGTGAGAGGGGCCTAATCCCTGCTGTCCTTTCTCCGGAGGGTTTAGGAAGGAGTGAGAGAAGCCTAATCCCTGCTGGCCTTTCTCCGGAGGGTTTAGGCAGCAGTGAAAGGGGCCTAATCCCTGCTGTCCTCTCTCCGGATGTTTTAGGAAGGAGTGAGAAAGGCCTAATCCCTGCTGGCCTTTCTCCGGAGGGTTTAGGCAGCAGTGAGAGGGACCTAATCCCTGCGGTCCTTTCTCCGGAGGGTTTAGGCAGGAGTGAGAGGGGCCTAATCCCCTCTACGCCCCCTGTGGTCAGATTTCCAAAGGGACGACACAGGTCGGCTATTTTTGAGGTCTCTTGGCCACTCCATCCCAAACAAATCAAGTCAAGCCATGTCAAGGTTCCAGGGCCATGGTTGCTGCCGCTTCTGCTTCTGGCAACAAGCAAGGGGAGCGATTCGTCATGCCACGCACAAGCACACGTGCCATGCTTAAGGGTTCTAAGGACGTCATGCCCAGCGCAAGCACAAGACAACATGCCAAACATGCCAGCGCTGCCTTGCGTTAAGGCTTGGGACCCTTGAAAATCATGGTAAAACATCTCCTCCTTGCTCTTTTTGGCTCGCGCGCCTAGCGCGTCATTCTTCCAACCCCCAAAACAGAGCTGCGCACCGCATGCGCCGATCCTTCCTTCTTCGAAAACAAAACTCTCATGCCAACACCCCGCAAAACATGCCACAAGCCATGCCAAGAACCATGCCAAAATATGCCAGCAAGACTTTCCTAAAGACTTCTGGGCCATTTCAGGGCATTTTCGGGGTACTTTCGGGCATTTTCGGGGGTTTCGGGGTAAGCTCTGTGTACTTCGGGCACGCTCAGGGTGCTTCCGTTTTCGGGGATACTTCGGCTCTAAGCCCTCGCAACAAGAAAGCAAACGGAGTCTCAAGCAACGCATGCCGAGAGTCACCGCTCTCCCTTCCTTGTGGCTTCTCGACTTCTACCTTCTTTCCTCCTTCTGTCGTCGCTTTCTTGAGGATGCTTGGTCCTGGCTGAGGCTTACCAACAGGGTCCTGCAGACAGGTAATCGCGTCTATTTCCATGTCCGAGCCCGAAGGCTGGCGTGAAAAACGACCTTTCCCTGCTTTCTGACGTCTGCCCCCGCTCAAGGCCCACCAAGCACGATTCGCTGAAACGAGTTTCACGTTACGCTTGCCTTTGTACAACCCAGACCCGGTCTTGTAGAGATACGTTCTCCACCCTTTCTCCACCGCCGCCCAGGGACTAATGGCGTTAAACGTCACGTCCGCAACGAGAACTTCGGACAAGAGAAGGCTACAGTCACCGAAAACGACTTCCAAGTCTACGACGTCTGATACCGGGATCTTACCCCCCGAAGCGTTGTACAGAGTGACCTCTCTCTCATATCTCTTGACCACCCTGAATCCGCTGAGGTGCACAGAAGCCACCACGTGACAGGTGGCTCCCGAATCCACTAGCCAAACGTCCCTTGGTTCTAGCTGGAAATTGGCGCATATGCGCTCCACATCCCCTGCAGTCAAAGAATTGCTAACAGGTCCCAAACGTTGCTTGTCGAGTGAAAAACCTACCCTACGCTCATGCGACTCAGCAAGGCTCAGTTCAGCCTTGCTGGGCAAACCGCATTGCCATCACAGTCTGTGTCGGCGATGCTTCTGCCTCGGACTCTGGTTCTCCCATAGCCCGGGCGCGGTTCTTCTTTTTCTTGCCCTTGTCCTTGCCTTTCTCTCCCTTTTCACCCTTCTCTCCCTTGGAGTTGGGCCTTCCCTTCGGCGTCGGAGAGCGAGGCGTGCCCTTCGGAGTGGGCGACCTTTGTCCTTTAGGGCCACCGGTGCCCTTTCCACTCTTCGACTCTCCTTTGCTGCTTGCCGCCTTTCTAACCAGCATCACGCTGTCGAAACCAACAATCCTTTGCCACATGACCATGCTTGCCGCAATGGTCGCAAAGCTTGCCGTCCATTCCACGGTTCGCTGCAGTCGGCACGTCGCACATCCTCAGCTGTTCTTCGAAATACTTGAGGCTCTTCGTCTCACTCCAGCTGTTGGCGTTGCCGTACTGTCTCGCTGGATGCGAAACGGCCTGTAGCAGGATGGAACAGCGATAGTGTTGATGTCCATGGGCTTCTTGAGCCTTGAACATTTTGCATGCAACTTCATGCAACCGTCTCTCACGTAGACGGCTTCCATTCGAGACACAATGGAGTAGTTCAGGTGCAAGGTGCGAACTGCCTCGTCGCCTGTAGCAGACATGCTCTGCCTTTTGCTACAGCTTCGAAGCAACTCCAAACCCCACTCAGGGGGCTGGGCCCGCCCCCTTCGTACGAAGGGGGGCTTGAAGGGGGGCTTGAAGCCCCCCTTTGAAGGGGGGCTGAAGGGTCGGACCCTTGAAGGGGGCTTGAAGGGGGGGGGTGAAGGGGGGGGGGGGGGGGGGTGAAGGGGGGGGGGGAGGGGGGGGGGTGGGCGAAGGGTCGAAGGCTTGAAGGGGGGCTTGAAGGGGGGCTTGAAGGGGGGGGCTTGAAGGGGGGCTTGAAGGGGGGCTTCAAGAGGGGCTTCAAGGGGGGCTTCAAGGGGGGCTTCAAGGGGGGCTTGAAGGGGGGCTTCAAGGGGGCTTCAAGGGGGGCTTGAAGGGGGGGCTTCAAGGGAAGCTTCACAGGGAGGCTTCAAGGAGGGCCTTTGAAGGGGAGGTTTGAGACGCGAGCCTAAACGTCGCGAAGAAGGCCCAGGTGCTCGGCCTCGTAAACTGCTCCCTGCAACCCGTGCGAAGCAAGCCCAGTTTATCAGGCCGCTTGAACTGCTCCCTGGAACCTCGCGAAGAAGGCCCAGTTAGTGGGCCTCTCAAACTGCTGCCGAAACGTCGCGAAGAAGGCCCAGTTATTAGGCCTCTTAAACTGCTCCCTGAAACCCCTGCGAAGCAGGCCAAGTTGTTAGGCCTCTTAAACTGCTCCCTGGAACCTCGCGAAGAAGGCCCAGTTATTAGGCCTCTTAAACTGCTCCCTGAAACCCCTGCGAAGCAGGCCCAGTTATTAGGCCTCTTAAACTGCTCCCTGGAAGCCGTTTACGCCCGCGTCTCAAACCCCCCTTTCAAGCCCCCCTTTAAACCTCCCTTTGCAGCTTCCTCTGATCCCCCCTTGAAGCCCCCCCTTGCAGCCTCCCTAGCCTCCACTAGAAAACATGGGGTTTTCGGCTTAGCCCCTTGCCACACGCACTCGAGATGGGAGGCGTCGGGTACTCGCAGGCCGAAGCCGCTTCTCCTAGCCTCCCGCTACAAGACATGGGGTTCTTGGCCGAGCCCGTGCCACAACAAAAAAACATATTCAAGCCAAAAACATGCTACTGTACGTGATTGCGTCGTAAAAAGTCTCCACTCCTCTGATTTTCGAACAATGAAAAACAAAAACAAAACAAGATTTCAGGGGGGTGGAATTTGAACTGAAATCCCTTCTCTCTTCTCCCTTGATTTTTCGAATAACGAAATACAAAAAACAATAAAATTCGAGGGGCGTAGAATTTAGAATAACTTCCCTTCTCTCTTCTCCTCGGATTTTTCGAATAATGAAATACAAAAAACAAAAAAAGATTCGGGGGTGGAATTTAGAATACGTTCCCTTCCCTACAACAAGTAAATGGGGGGGGCTGCGTCCCCTCCAACCTCCCCGCTCTTTACTTCCAAAAAGTCTCCACTCCTCTGATTCTCGAACAATGAAAGACAAAAACAAAACAAGATTCGAGGGGGGTGGAATTTAAACTAAAATCCCTCTCTCTTCTCCTCTGATTTTTCGAAGAACGAAATACAAAAAACAGAAAAGTTCGAGTAGGACGACAAGAAGCAAGGGGGCATGGATTTTAGAACAATTTTTTTCCTTGCTTCTACGGGAGGAACCAAAAATGAAACAAAAAGGGTTCCCCTTGAAGCCCCCTTAAAGCCCCCCTTGAAGCCCCCTTGAAGCCCCCCTTGAAGCCCCCCTTGAAGCCCCCCTTGAAGCCCCCCTTGAAGCCCCCCTTCAAGCCCCCCTTCAAGCCCCCCTTGAAGCCCCCCCCTTGAAGCCCCCCCCTTGAAGGTCCCCCCTTGAAGCCCCCTTCGACGAAGGTCGAAGCCCCCTTCGGGCCCCCTTCAAGGGGGACCCTTCAAGGGGGACCCTTGAAGCCCCCTTGAAGCCCCCCTTGAAGCCCCCCTTGAAGACCCCCTTCGCTGAAGGGGGGAGGGCCCATTCAGCCACGCTCCCACTTTGCCAAACTCAAACAACTTCGCCGACCGAGCTGCAGTGTCAGGAGGCAAAAGGTCCTGTCGGATCTCGTCCTTGACACTGATGCAGAGGCGAATCTCGTTCACATAGGCCTTGTCTTGCAAGGCCAACCATGAATTCATCGTCTCCAGAAAGCCGTGCCAGGCCTCAATCTTTCGCATTTTGTCTCCCAGGTCGCTGTGGAAGGTTCTTGTCGGCACGGTTGGAAACATATCACCTTGAGGAAGGAAGAAAACTCCGTGCGGACGAAGTCGCGGCGAGGAACGGGTCACTCGGTGCAGATGCCGCCGCGGCTTCTGCCTTGGCTTGAGCCTCAGCAGCTGCAAATTAGCATCGTTCCTTCTCTCTTCACTGTCTCTGCTGTTGTGCATGCAAGGTGACAGGTTTCTGCAATCGTAAACGCCGCAGAAGTCCATGATGAGACGATGGCTGTTCTTGATCTCCATGGATTTACATTGAAGCCTCTTGGACTGGTTCAAGTGCCTGCGTATTTACAAGAACCGTCTTGATGGAGGAAGAAGTCTGAGAGTTTTTCGGCAACATGACGCATAAGCAGGTGCTGCATAACTTGACATGAGCAGTCAGCTACATGACTCGAGCTTCAAAAAACAAAAGACGAGCAGAGTGGAAATGCCTTGAACTTCCCTTGAAAAAGAGTCTTACTTCTCTGGTTTCGAAGAATGAAATTTGAAAATGAACACAAAATGCACAAGATTTGAGAAGGGTGGAATTTAGAACACATTCTCTTCTTTCGCTTTTCAAGTTCTGTGGAGTTTGGTGGTTGAGACGCTGCGTTCGGCAAGTAAAATCCAAGAATGCGCTTGCTTGTGTGTTCTTTTCTTGGCGCAGCAGTTCTCTTGAGTCCACGTCTTAGTCTTCGGTCTTGTTGTAGGCAGTTTTCAGTTTTTGTCTTGGCTAGAAGGATCAACGATTTCCAGGTTTTGGCTATGCTTAAGACACGTACGAAGGGCAGAGCTGGCCACGGCATCAGAGCGGGCAAGTCAAAGGGGCTGGCACCTCCCAGAGTTTCAGAATCCCGCTCTGAGCAGAGCCCGCTCGCTCAGCGTTCAATAAAAATGGTAGTAGTAGTAGTAGTAGTAGTAGTAGTAGTAGTAGTAGTAGTAGTAGTAGTAGTAGTAGTAGTAGTAGGCGTCGTAGTAGTAGTAGTAGTAGTAGTAGTAGTAGTAGTAGTAGTAGTAGTAGTAGTAGGAGTAGTAGTAGTAGTAGTAGTAGTAGTAGT